AATTTTTCTAAGTTAAAAGAAATATTTTTGGATAAAAAATAATTCTCTTCAGTGTTGACTCTTTTGAGAGTCTTATCTTTAAGTCTAATAACAATTTATTGAGTCTTAGTCAGAAATATTTTAATGGTATCTTTAAATTAAATAACTCTCTCTAGAGAATTTTAAGGTTATCTTAAAAACTACTATTTTTTTCTATTTTAAAGAGATTTAATGAAATCGTTAGGTCTAGAAATAACTCCCAATATTTCAAAGAATCTTTAATACTCTTTAATGCCCATTTCTCAGTGCTTACATCGTTTTTCAGAGTTACAAAATTTTCTTGAAAAAATTTTCTGGGTTTAAGAGAGTTAAAAGAATTGAATCGAATAAATTAAATAAATCCCAGGGATCCCTGGGATCCCTGGAATCCCTGGGATTGCACAAATTTTTAGTATTGGCTTTAATCCGAAAGACATTAGGGGGCTTTAAGGAATTTAAGGGCCTTAATTGTCCCCCTTATTTAGTTTAGATTATTTATTAACAATATATTCAGCAAGAAGCGACGCACTAATGTATTGATGAAGCTAAATAGATCTGATTCTAGACTGCTTTGAAAAGTTTCATAAATTATAAAGAAATTGGTTTACTTTGAAATATAGGTTTTTAGTTAAACATGCTGAGTTTTGGCCACAAACTTTTATTTTCTAATCTCCCATAACCTTGCCACTCAATTTGTTAATTTGTAATGTATATTTTGTAAAAAATCAAAAATGTTGATTTTGGTTTAACTTTACCAGACTTTTACTTTTTACTTTTAAAGATTTAAATCATTGTTCGGGGAGANGTTTTTTAATTAAATGATTATATGGAACTCTTTAAAACTGTTCCCGCATGTTAATGGCTATTTATTTATTTTGCAAATACTGAAATTTACGTAATATAGTATAAAACTCATTGAAAAATTGTCAAGACGACATTTGATAAATTCTTCCTATGTATTCGTTATTAAGGGTTTCTCTGTAGGCTAGCGCATGAAGATAAAGTGTAAGAATAATGATTACAAAGCGTAGAAGAATTGTTGTAACATGATCCCAGTCAGCTATATAGTCTAGAGGGGAGAGGGATTCGTTTAATCAATCCAGTCAATCAGATCTTTACACCTTACCCCTGACAACTATGTATAGATAAATAAATGCTGAATTTCAGTGTTTCACCATTTATTTAAAAAATGTTGATATTTTTTTAATCTAGTTATTGTTCAATGATAAGCTATTATTCTGTATAATTATGAAAGTTAAAAGTAATATTCAATATTTAATTACAAATTTAAAGACGATAAAATCCGGGAAAAATCTTTTGAAAAATTTAATCCTAATCGTTATAAATAATCCCACACTGAAAATAATATCAGAAAGTTCGATAGATTGAATTGCCTTACAGTAATTTTTGACCTATCAGACATTTTACAAATTGAAGATTTTTTAATCAATTTGATAGGACCGGCTATCGTTCATTTCTAACTAGATAAGTTTTATTTGAGATAGAATATAAATCTTTAAAAGATACTAGCTTGGGAACCCAGCTTCGTCTAAAGTTTCCGTACAAAAGTCAATCTACCCAACTTAAAATGTTAAACCAAACCAAAAAATATCCCGTAGTTTCTTTACGAGTTACTCAATATAAATGTAATACAAATCAGTCAAGGGTTTTTTAAGTTATGATCTGACGTACAAACTAACAGACAAACATTTATATTTTACGGAAAAAAATAAAAAAAAAACACTTTTTGAAGTGCAGTTCACAGTTAACAAGTGAACAATCCCATTAAACAGATTACAGGGACCAGGAAGCATTATTTTAGGTGTTATGCAACCCTGCAACCATGCAATCAGGACCTTAGTCCTAACCCTGCAATAGTTGACCACTTTACAGGGGGGGGGAGNATTTCAAATTCTTCAGATTTAAAACTCAAGGTCTAACTAAACCATTTTGTTCTAGGGAAAAAATCATAAAGCAATCTAAATATGCCAAATCACGTTAAAACGTGTGTTTACTCCATTAAGTCCAGACTGCTGTTATGAAATCTTATGTTTCAATTTTCAATACCCATCTTAAGTATAAATTTTCAATACCCATCTTATGTCTCAATGTTTAAGACCCATTTTAAGTATACATTTTCAATACCCATCTTATGTATCAATTTACAAGACCCATGTTGTGTGTGAATTTTTCTAAGTTAAAAGAAAAGTTTGAGGGTGAACTCCTGAAATTCTGAGGGGCCATAATCCTTCTCTAGGCTCATGTATAAGGTTTCGCCAAAAAATCAGTTTAATTTTTGACATTCTTTTTCATTTAAACCGTAGATTAATAATGATACCGATAGTACACTAGATGTCGTCTTTTCAAGATTTAGGGGTTTTTCGTTCACAATAAGCCTGAGATACGCGCATGCCGCGTTGAATTACAAGACACAGAGAGAAAATGTGCGTAACTCCTTTGGGCCTCTGTCTCAAGGTTATTATGAACGAAAATCCCTTAAATCTTGAAAAGACGACATATAGTGTTCTATCTGTATTGTTATTAATCTTTGATTGAAACAAACGGAGATTTAGACCACCCAACTATGAATGTAAGTAATGTACTTTTAATTCAAAGTATTCTTTGATTCTAGGAATCCAATAGAAAATAAATTATCTAAATGTAATTTAACCACTACGTATTTTAAATCGGATTACAAATGAATGGATCTTCAAAACGAATAATACCTTGTTGTACTTTCAAGCTTTAATTTTATGTTTAAAGGGTGTCTGGATGGACATGGTAGTTGAACTGAGAAGGGAACATTAAAGAGACATTTTTTAGGATTCATTTGAGACCTCTGGGACGTTTTTACGGTGTATATTTGTTCAGAAAGAGCGAAAATTTAATCTTTAAAATTCTCATGATTGTTCATTTATTTGGATAGAAGTATCGTCTTTTTTAAAATTAATTCCCATGTTTATTCGAACGAAAATTAAAAATTCGCCCATACACTTTTATAATAAAAGAAAAAAAGGCAATTTTAAAAATAACTTTTGTCTAAAGTTTTTTGTTATATACAGTGAAACCCTTAATAACGAATACATCAAAAGAATGCATCAAATGTCGTATTCTTCACTTTCTTATAATGGAATGTTGCAGATATTTAGTTTTTTTAATTAAATGATTATATGGAACTCTTTAAAACTGTTCCCGCATGTTAATGGCTATTTATTTATTTTGCAAATACTGAAATTTACGTAATATAGTATAAAACTCATTGAAAAATTGTCAAGACGACATTTGATAAATTCTTCCTATGTATTCGTTATTAAGGGTTTCTCTGTAGGCTAGCGCATGAAGATAAAGTGTAAGAATAATGATTACAAAGCGTAGAAGAATTGTTGTAACATGATCCCAGTCAGCTATATAGTCTAGAGGGGAGAGGGATTCGTTTAATCAATCCAGTCAATCAGATCTTTAGGGATTACATTAAATAATCCCAGTGTGTCAATAAATAATGTCTAATCAGTGATTTTGTTCTTATCGTGTTAAATCAGGTTACTTTTTTATATCTCTTGAATTGGGTGTCGTTATAATGTTATTCATTAAAAAGAAGTTCATGTTCGATTGACAACGGTTCCCTTTTAACCTTTAATAATATGCAAAAGATCTTGTCCTAATCCAAAAAGTGTTTAAGTTTCTTTATCAAGAAATCAGCGAGACACTTGTACAGAAAAAAAAATCCAAGATATTAAATGTTTAAAAAGAAATCTTGGGAATTTGATGGAGAGTAACTTTTAAAATTTAAATTTAAGAAGTCTCTTAAACCTACACACATCCTTTTCACATTAATCTAGACCTTGTATTTGAAATTACTTGTACAACTTTGTGACCTTGTAGCTTCTCAAATTAAAAGTATACGCTTAATTTTGAAAGTAAATTAAAAATTCAACACTTTGTCAATCTGATATCTGATATCTGATATCTGATATCGGCCCTTTTTAAAAACTAAATGTACATTTTATTTAGTTACATTCAATTAATAATAAAACAACATAAAAAAATAACCTATCAATTTCATGCTTTGTAGAATTTGGAAATCCTTACATTAAAAAATGATTCTTATCTTAAATAAAGAACGATCACCGTTAAAATAATAACCATCCTTTATTTAACAAATCTTTAGAAAACCATTATAAATGTCATGGTTAAGTTGATATCAACATTTTAATAGATACTATCAAAAGAATGGATTATTGAGATAAGGATCGAGCATTTTAACCTTCAAATACAAGTATGAGCGGACCCTTAAACTAACCTTCAGAAGAAATTCAAACTAGTTAAAAGCCTAATATATTCTTTGGTTTTTAATAGGTTTTCATCATGTACAGTACATTTTCTTATAATGTACAGAGTGATTGGACAAAGTGTTTGCATGTTTTCTTTTTGGAACGATATTTAAATTGACATGAAACTGAATTCTTTCAATAAAGACTTCTACTTTATTTCTTTCAACTTCACCTATTCCTTGTCAAAAAAACTGATGTACGTATGTTGTACATATTGTACCCAAAGGTCTGATGTACCTTGTACATATAAGACTAATATGTACAATGTAAAATTATATAGACTATGCTTTTAGGGCGCTTCGCGCCCATCTTCTATTTCGATTGTGAACATATTCTTTTTGTATATATTTTATATGTATACGTATGTTACTTATAAGGTCTATACGTACATTGTTGTACATGCCACATGTAGGTCTGATGTACGAGCATGAAGTACGTTGATACACGGATTGGTGTACTGTTCAGCGTCTGTGAGGTATTCATAAAGGAACTGTATGCTTAATTTCAAGATAGGCATGCCCGAATCCCAACAGTACCCATGAAACCCTGATCTGATAACGTGATAGATATTGTCGGTTTTCTAGGATAAAAAGTGTTTAATTCTGATAATTCCTATTTGTTTCCTGCAGTAGATATGTGGAAGTCACTTTCTAAAAGAAATCATAATTGAAAGTAATCGGTTTTAAAGGGAGTGATGTATGATGGTTGAACTGAATATGTTGTATTAAGTGGAAAATTTATTTAGGATTCATTTGAGACATATAAAATGTTCCTACGACGTATATTTACTGAGTTTGAGCGCAAAGTCGACGTTCAAAATTATGAATTTGGGTGCGTACGTTTTCAGAATCGTTTATTTTAATTTAATAACGACGGCAAAAAATGTTCAGTTGTTTAGGAGCAGGTTGAGAAAATAAAAATTTACTGTTATCGTCGAAAATAAGTAATCATATTCCATTATTAGTTTCTATAATTTCTCATTATTCACAAAGATTTTCTGGATTTTTTTGGAAAAGACGACATTTGAAGAATTTGTAGAAATCTGCGTACAAATTCAAAGAAAATAAGAAATTCAATATAATGATGAAAACGAAATAATTGATTCTAACATTAATCTATTGACAAATTTATGTTAAGAACTATGTTTCTGACCATTTTTAAATTTATTTTTTGTCGTCGTTATTTAATAACTTATTAAAAACCGATTCTGAAAATGTACCCACCCAAAATGATTTTGAACGTCGACTTTGCGCTCAAACTCAGTAATTATACATCGTGGAAACGTTTTTATATGTCTCAAATGAATCTTAACAAATTTGTCCACATTTCTACAATTCAGTTCAACCACCATACATTGCCGGTCACTCCCTTTAAACCTGTTCCATGTTTTCTGATTCGGTTTAATCGAATTTTAATTACCGCCTAAAAATTCTCCACAATACTACATTCTCAGTTCAACCTCCATACATTGCCGGTCACTCCCTTTAAAATTGTAAACATTGATACCTAATTCATATTTGGTACCGTTGTGAATTTGGCATTGCTATCTTTCTATTGAAGGTTACTTTGCTTACAGTTCCTTTAACCAATTTTTTGCCAAGCTTTTGCTATATTTAACCTGTTTTAGCTAATGTACAATAAATACTTTAAAAAGCTTTGGATCAAAGAATTAGAAAGAATATTTTTTTTGGCTTTCTCAAGCCAGATCATCCAAGTTTTCTTTTTTCCAAACCATTTTTTTTGTCATTAAACCTGTTAAACCTGAACTGCAAAATTCCTCTAAATTATTTTATAGCGACAATTTAGGGCATTAAACAATGATTTGTTTTTATTGTATTAGATTTTTCACAAATCTGTTTGCAACTATATATATATATAACACAATTATATATTTAACAGATTAAAATTTCTTATCCCTAATCAAGGTTGAAACCTGTTGAAGTCTGTTTGATCACAAAACCCCCAAAACGGAAAAAAATACAAATAATTCAGTTGAAAAAATTTACACGACGTTTATGCAAAGTTTTCAATTTTAATAGTAGATCAGTTAATTAATCAAAATCTAAAAAACTTGAATTGAGTCTTTGCCACAAACTTTGATTTTCTAATCACTATATCTTTGGAACGACATGTTGCAGACCTTAGATTTTTCAAACTATGAATTCTGTTAGATCAAATAATCTGAGTTTGAAATATCAAAGGTTTACAACATCGTGTTCAGCAGATATTGAGGTTTAAATATTTGATTTTGTTCCAAAGAATAAATTCCTTTGAGATCAAAACGAAGCTAAAGTTTTAGTTAGACACCCGGTTTTGGTATTTTGTGACATTCTTAAAGTTTCAGTCTCAATGTAGTTTATTATCATACAATACAACATAGAAACAATGGATTTACATTCAATCAAGGGAAAAACAAAATGCAATATTGAAACCGGAAGTATATAAAAATAGTATTTTTTTGATGACATTTTGAAACGTAAATCAAAAATATTGAGCTGAAAATGAAATTTTTCGAAGTGCGTTAAGAAAATTGTAATAATAAAGGGTGTACACAAAAAACGGTCCCACCAACCATGTCTTCTCTAATTTATGTAAATCTACGACTATTGAACTGTAAAGTTCTAAATCATGATGATGATAAAATAAAATGGTTAAGCAATTTTTTTTAGGAACTGAGTTTTTGCCTTAAACTCTATAACTTTCTCTAGTCTCTAGAACTTTGCAACCCAAGGTTTTAAGCTTTGGATTTTGTTATGCCTTCAGGTTGCTAAGATATTTGAATTTGTGGCAAAGACTCTTTCTTGAGTGTTTTTGCTAATGCACAAGTTGGATTAGATCAATACCAAGAAGTAACTTAACAATGTACGGTTTATTAAACTTTATTTTTCGTCATTGAGGACCTCAATAAAAAAGTATTTCAAACATTCATAGCTACTGAATTGATTGCAAATTGCTGATCACAAACCAGAAAATGAGAGAAATGTTGTAATTGTTTTTTTTTAATAATACTATATGCTCTTAGTCTAACATTCAGAATATGTCAAAACTTTTCTTTAAAATTAACTAAACTTATTATTTTTCTATTTAAAATCCAATTTATACCTAACCATATTTAACACAGGAACTGAGTTTTTACCACAAAGTCAAACTTTCTAATGCCTATATCTGTGCAACCTGATAGTGTAAACATTTTATATTTCAAACTTAGACACTTTAGTCTAACAGAATTCATAGTTTGAAATATCAAGGGTCTACAACATGGGTTTATAGAGATATAGAGATATAGAGATTCGAAAATCACAGTTTGTGACAAAAACCCAGTTCCTTAATTCTTCCCCCTTCCCTCCCTACAATATAATCCTTCCCCCCCTACAATATAATCCTTGCTCTCCTGCTTGTTAAAATACAAGGATGAAACTGAATATTCTAGAATCTTAAAAACATAAAAAAAAACTTTGTCGGAAGTTTAAAAAAAAAAAAAAATATATTTTTTTTTTTTTTTTCTCCCCCCCCCCCCCCCCCCCCAAAATTTTAAAAAAAAAAAAAAACAGGGGGGGTATAAAAAATTTTATAAAAAAAAAAAAAAAAAATATATTTTTTATTTTTATTCAAAATATTTGCTTTGTAACAACACAAAAAACTGATCTTAGGATCAAGAAACTGAACTTAGGATCAATACGATGAAATCGATAACTGAAAGTAAAATAGAATTTGTCTGTGCGCGAAACCGGAAAAGAATAAAATGGTGTAAATGTAGTTTTAAGTCTTAAAATTGTTAATTCTTGTTGCAATTAATAGTATTTCTTTTTTCTTAATGTTTAATTTGCTATCTACAGATTAATGTTTAATTTGCTATCTACAGATTAATGTTTAATTTGCTATCTACAGATTAATATTTAATTTGCTATCTACAGATTAATGTTTAATTTGCTATCTACAGATTAATATTTAATTTGCTATCTACAGATAAATGTTTAATTTGCTATCTACAGATTAATGAAAGAAGAAACATGGAAAAACAGGACAAAAGAATTNACTGATCTTAGGATCAATAAACTGAACTTAGGATCAAGAAACTGATCTTAGGATCAATAAACTGAACTTAGGATCAAGAAACTGATCTTAGGATCAAGAAACTGAACTTAGGTTCGAGAAACTGAACTTAGGATCAAGAAACTGAACTTAGGATAAAGAAACTGATCTTAGGATCAAGAAACTAAACTTAGGATCAAGAAACTGAACTTAGGATCAAGAAACTAAACTTAGGATCAATAAACTGAACTTAGGATCAATAAACTGATCTTAGGATCAATAAACTGAACTTAGGATCAAGAAACTGATCTTAGGATCAATAAACTGAACTTAGGATCAAGGAACTGATCTTAGGATCAAGAAACTGAAATTAGGATCGAGAAACTGAACTTAGGATCAAGAAACTAATCTTAGGATCAAAAAACTGAATTTAGGATCGAGAAACTGAACTTAGGATTAAGAAACTGAACTTAGGATCAAGAAACTGAACGTAGGATCAAGAAACTGAACTTAAGGTCAAGAAACTGATCTTAGGATCAAGAAACTGAACTGAGGATCAAGAAACTGATCTTAGGATCAAGAAACTGATCTTAGGATCAAGAAACTGAACTTAGGATCAATAAACTGAACGTAGGATCAAGAAACTGAACTTAGGATCAAGAAACTGAACTTAGGATCAATAAACTGAACTTAGGATCAATAAACTGAACTTAGGATCAATAAACTGAATTTAGGATCTTAGGATAAAGTATCCTAGAATCATAAAACTGATCTTAGGATTAAGGAACTGAACTTAGGATCAAGGATACCGATCTTAGGACCAAGAATGGGGATTTAGGACCAATCAAACTGAACTCTAGATTAGGATTAATGTCACCGATCTTAGGATAAAGAATACTGATCCTAGAATCAGGGATACTGATCTTAGAATCAGGGATACTGATCTTAGAATCAGGGATACTGATCTTGAATCAGGTATACTGATCTTAGAATCAGGGATACTGGTATTAGGATTAAGATGTGTGCAAACAATAAACATCAATTCTATCGATTTCCTGCCATGTTTCTTTGAAAACTTGATAAAATATGAAGAAGAACACATCCTGTTCATTGTAAGATTAAATGCTTGTGGAGGAAATTGGCTAAATATCGAAAAAATGTCATATTTAGATTCTTTAATTTACAGGGTTCACTTGGATTTAACGGTTCTGTCAATATTCTAGAAAGCTGTGACTTTCGATATCAATTTGATTTATGAAACATAAATTTTTAGCCCACTTTTCAAGTGCTATTTTGTTGGCACAAACATTTTTAATGAAAAAGTATAAAACAAAAAATACCGTACGTTTAAAGGTTGTTGAATTAAAGCCCAAAATGTATTTGATTTCAAATAAAAGAAACCGAATGCCTCTCACTCTGGTTTATCTGGTTTATTAAAGGATGAGATTGTAAAGACGATGCAAAACTCTAAAAATACGACGATTTAAAGCTTGATCTTTCTGCATTTAATTGAGTAAATTGCTGGTTTACTAAATGATTAAGCACAGAAATAAACCAATTGTTGGCCTACAAGCAACTCTAAATGCAAGAAAGACACTATGCAAATTCCATATAATCATCTCTGAAGAATCATCTTTTGTGGGTAACCCTGTACTATGATTTCAAATCAATTAAATTGACATATAAGGATCGAATATTTTCACTTTTCTGATCGTTTGGTTTACGATTGTGTTCAAAACAGCCCTATAAAAAATCGTTTTTTTAAGTTAAAATAAAGCAGTACTTTCGTAGATGATTGTTAATGACGACCCATAATTAAAGATCATTTTCCATTTGTAAAAAGTTCAAAACTAACAGTTAGTTTTTCTGGAAACAAAGGCTCGTTTGTATTAAAATATCAAAAACGAAACAAAAAAATATCGAATTATTTCGTTCGTTTTCAATTAACAATAAACAATAACAACCCCTATAAAATACATCTCCATGCAATTTTAGATATAAACTTTTTTTCTGTTACTTTTTTTTTAAAGAAAATGAAAATATACGGGGAAAAACTGCAGCTTTAAAGTTTTTAAAACTTTAAAAACTTTTGTTTTTAAATTTGAAATTCATGCCTGCTCCTTATTGTGCGGCTTTTAGATGAATAAAATAAATTAATTCACATTTCAGTTGAAAATTAATATTTATTGGCTGAATCATATTCTCTTTCATCAATTTTAGGGAAACTAAATCAATTAAAAATTTTTCTTTTGCCGAAACAATGGAACCGGGGAAATTATAATTCACGAAAACTTGTCAGACAAAATAATTAAGTTAAGCAAAGTGCCTTATTTTCTGAGAAGGCACGTAAGATTAAAATATAGATGATACAATTTATTAAAGCGCTATTGATAAGAACATAAACTTCCTATGTATGCAAATTGCATATTACGCACCTCTGACCCTTTAGTAATAGTAAATTCAACCTAAAGTCTGACCGTGTCATCCTTGTTGCACCGGCTAGTCCTATTGAGTGTCTGCTTTATTTACCCAATGTCCGGGCGATACAGTACAATTTGGGACCGGAAAGGTTGACCCGGCTCGGAAATTCAAATATTCTACGGCTGCCCGTGATATGGTTTTCTGGTGAACAATTTCTCAAAATGTCGACTTATACTATACAAAACGTTGGTTACGAAAATATTACATTATGTTGGGTTAGGTCAGTTAAAGATAATTTCTGAACCGAGCGCTGCGGCCTCTTAAACGTTGAATAATGTTTTTTTTGTGTGAGGTAATGTCGCAAACATTTAACCATCTCCTTGTATCTAGTTCAATGTGAACTAAAATGAGAAGCATTTACCGTTTTATGAGGAGAGATCTGTGTTTGAAAAAATTCAACATTTAAAATTAATTTGAAATTAAATGTTGGGTAAACACGTTCATGTTTCCCAGATTCCTCGATTGGATGAGTTTTACATGCTTTTTAACATTTAGATCAGAACTTAAATTGGGGGCATAATTTGAACAGGGTTTTCTAGATCACAAAAGTGTTTAATTCTGACAATTTCATCCATGTCTTTCCTTTGCAGAAATACGCAAGCCACAGATACAATTGTAATTTTTAAATGTTACTTACAGTTGAAAATATGTATATCTGATTCGTTTTTGATCATACAAAACTCAATGAACGGAGAGTGACTAAAATTAAGAATTTAGAGGCCCAAAAGAGTTACGCGCAGTCGATGTAGAACAGCCTGTCTCTGAGTAGAATTACAAGACAGAGAGAGAGAGCCTGTTCTACGACAACTGCGCGTAACTCCTTTTGGCTTCTGCCCCAAGGTTGTTGTGAACGAAAAGCCCCAAAATCTTGAAAAGACGACATCTAGTGCAGTCCTATCTGTTGTTTTAATTAATCGTTGAGTTTTATTTTCTACCTTAGTGAAGCAAAAAAAAAAATGAAGAAAATAAATTACAGATCGTAATTAAATTGATTCACATTGATTATAACTTGTCTTCAAAACTTTTCATTCCGTTAACACTGGAATGGAACAAGATCCGTTAACAAAACGAATGTTTTTAAAAATTAACGTTTAAAACCATTGATTTTAAAATAGTTATCTAACGAAAATAGCTGTTTTTGAAATAAAAATTTAACAGTTGAAAACAAAAAAGAGACGGATGTGGTTAAAAAAACGGCGACTTTCGATCATTTTTTTGCTTAAAATTGCATGAAACTTGTAAAAAATAAAAGTTATTTTTATGTATTTTTTTTAACGCCGTCTTCTAATTTTTCCCTCCCTTATTTGTTTAACTATAGTATTTGATGCATACTGATGCATAATCGTTAACGGCTGGCACCGTCATTGAGGGTTTATATAAATCTGCCGTTAATGATATCGAGATCGCTAACTAACGGAAGTTTAAAAAAAAAAAAAAATATATTTTTTATTTTTATTCAAAATATTTGCTTTGTAACAACATAAAATACACAATTAAATATTGTAGTTGATTATTGTTTACCCATTCTTTTAGTTTTAAAAACTTCTCTAAATATTTGGACTCAAATTCCATTTTGTAATTCTTCTAGATTTCTAGGATAAGAGTCTCAGTTACACAGTACACTGATAATTGCGTCATGTCAAAATAATCTTTTCTTCAGCAGAGAGATGGAGGCGCGTCAGCTGAACCGGAAGCTGAACCGTCCTCCCACGTGAAAGTTACGGATGTGCGACTGCCGAGACATCTGGTGCCAGAATCTTACAGGCTCAAGCTCATTCCTTTCATTGTTCCAGACAACTTTACCATCAGGGGTTATGTTGAGGTACCCTTCGACTTTATCAAAAACAAAATAAAAAAAATATTTTAATTTTTTCAAAATTTAAATCTTTGTAAATTTTTTTCAATCGACCCATTATTAACCATGGCCAAAGATCCTTCTCATCTTAGGGCTTTAAATAATGGGAAATTTTATTTCGTTGACAATGAAATGTTACATTTTACTTTTAAACCACATCAATTAAGATTGACATGGTGTGCACTGAGCCTGGAAAAAATATAACCCTGCACAGCGCTGATCTAGAAATTCAGAACAGAACTGTTCAAGTCCAGCAGATAAATGGGTCAGCTCTTAATGTTCGCAGGTAGAGATTTTTCAAGATATTTTTTAAAACATACTTTTAAATCTAAAATTTCGGAAAATTGGGATAAATTTAAAAATCCAAAATGACAAGGATAGGACTATAGAACTGTATTTTATTTATAGGATTTAGAGGATAGGGAGTAAAGAATTGTATTATATTTCAGTTATGATTATGATAAGGATGGGGGGTGAAGAATTATATTATATTTCAGCTATGATTATGATAAGGAAGCGGGCTGAAGAATTGTATTATATTTCAGTTATGATTATGATAAAGATAGGAGCTAAAGAATTATATTATATTTCAGCTATGATTATGATAAAGATAGGAGCTAAAGAATTATATTATATTTCAGCTATGATTATGATAAAGATAGGAGCTAAAGAATTATATTATATTTCAGTTATGATTATGATAAAGATAGGAGCTAAAGAATTGTATTATATTTCAGCTATGATTATGATAAAGATAGGAGCTAAAGAATCATATTATATTTCAGTTATGATTATGATAAAGATTCGAGCTAAAGAATTGTATTATATTTCAGCTATGATTATGCTAGGATAGGGGGTGAAGAATTATATTATATTTCAGTTTTGATTAAGTTAAGGATAGGGAGATAAGAATTGTATTATATTACAGCTATTATTATGATAAGGATAGGGAGATAAGAATTGTATTATATTTATAGCTATGATTATGATAAGGATAGGTAGTAAAGAATTGTATTATATTTCAGCTATGATTATGATAAGGATAGGGGCTGCAGAATTTTATTATGTTTCAGCTATGATTATGATAAGGACAGAGAATTCTTTGTGCTAAATCTAGGATCAATGCTCGAGAAAGGAAAACGGTAAGAATATGATCTATATAATAAAGCTCTTCTCTCATGTATATGTATCCTGAAGAATGCATAAAACATAATGTAGATACAATAAAAACTCAAATCATCTTCAGGAATACTTCTTTTCTCATATATTTGTATATATATATGTGAGCTATAGCTGGCCAAACGGCTGGACCGAATTGACTATATTTTTTTATGGGAACTAATGGTTAGAAAAATTCAATAGGCTAGAAAAATTCAACATTTTTTCAAAATCGATTAAAAAAAGATTAAAGCTTAAAGATTAAAGAATAAAGATTAAAGATTAAATATTAAAGATTAAAGATTAAAGATTAGAGATTAAAGATTAGAGATTAAAGATTAAAGATTAAAGATTAAAGATTAAAGATTAAAGATTAAATATTAAAGATTAGAGATTAAAGATTAGAGATTAAAGATTAAAGATTAAAGATTAAAGATTAAAGATTAGAGATTAAAGATTAAAGATTGAAGATTTAAGATTAAAGATTTAAGATTAAAGATTAAAGATTAAAGATTAAAGATTAAAAAAGATTAAAAATTAAAGATTAATAATATTATATAATTTTTCATAAACACATTTACGATTTTTCTTTGGATCCTATAAATCAAAATTCTAATTATTTTTTCATGAAAAGTTTAATTTTCTCTTCGTAGAGATTCATTGAGTTGGAATTGGATTTTATAAATTTCCAAGAATAATAATTTCTCTTGAGTAAACTTAATTTGGTTTGTAAGTATTGCATTGTGAGGTTATAAACCTTTAAAACTTGATTTGTAAATTATTAAACAACTCAAAGTGAAATAAATTGTGGAATATAAAGACAACCGATAGCCTGAAGTTATAATTTTTACAAGTCTAAAGGTTGATGAATTGGGCAGTGTAAACAGCACTACATTACAATCATTGAATTGATTTTTAATCATCAAGTATTTAATTAACGTAAAAAACTATATGACTGTTTAAAGGGACTGTATAATGCGTAATTTGAAGTGACCCTCCATGCAAAGATGACATGGCCCGATTTACAACGGTACCGTAAAAATATTGACTTGCTCATTCTATTGCAGGATAGATTATTAGAATTAAAACCTTTTAATCCTAAAAAAACGAAAATATTTTACAAGGTTTTAAGGGACCGTTGTGAATCGGGCACTGCCATGTTAGAAAAGAGGGTCATTTAAAATTATACTAACAGTTTATTTAAATAATCGTTTGTTTTTGTTTTGCAACATATACAAAAAGAAAATGTTCACTATTGAAATAGAAGATAAGCGGAAGCGCCCTAAAAGCATTATTTTCTCTTAATTTACAAAAATCTTTTTCGAGCAATCGTAATTGGTGCAGTGCTCATGTTTATATTTATAAGACAGAAAATAATTGTCATTTCAAAAGATTTTTTATTTTGTTTTAACCAATATATTTTGCTTTAACCAATATATTTTGCTTATAAAAGATGCAAAACTGAAATAAGAGTTTGGAGGAAAGCTTGAAGAAAGCTTGCATTATCTTAGACTTTTTAGATTCTGATAATTCGGATTTAAAGTTAGTTTAGCCTTTATAAATAATCTATAATCCTTTATTTTTTTTTTCAATCCTACATTTGCAATCAAAAATATAATATTAAACTTTTTTAGCAAAGAATTTTTATATGTAAAAAGCATGACAAAGGAGATTTACTACTTCTTGAATTTTTCCTGCTTAAAGAGACAACCTTCGGAATTTTATCTTCTCCTCTCTGTAAAGAGGGAACCAGCCTTTAATCAGAAATCTAACAAAAGTGTGGAAGAGTCCGAAGTTAATGAATTGAGCCGCGTCTCAAATCCTCCAAAAACCGGTTTCCATTGAGCGCCGGCTTAAATATTCAAACATTGAATAAAATTTAAATTGGAACCAATCAAATTTTAGCCGCAGCTCAAATTCTTTAAATTCAGTATCTCATTATTTCAAAGCTGTTTGCTTGGCTCTAAATTTCAGTTCAAAGCCTGATGCATAATAAACAAAAACATGATTGTATTCAAATTGATAAATGCAAACATCTACTCATCCTCGCTTTCATGCTAAAAAAGAAATTTGAAAAATCGATTTTTTTTTATACACGAAAAATTAACTTAAGTAATATTTTCAGATATACTGTTAAAATCTCCTTCACTGCTTTCTTGAAGGATAATCTTAAAGGATTTTACAGGTACTTGTTCATGTTCATGTTCATGTTCATGTTCATGTTCATGTTCATGTTCATGTTCATGTTCATGTTCATGTTCATGTTCATGTTCATGTTCATGTTCATGTTATTCATGTTCATGTTCATGTTCATGTTCATGTTCATGTTCATGTTCATGTTCATGTTCATGTTCATGTTCATGTTCATGTTCATGTTCATGCTCATGTTCATGTTCATGTTCATGTTCATGTTCATGTTCATTTTCATGTTCATATTCATGTTCATGTTCATGTTCATGTTCATGTTAATGTTTATTTTCATGTTCATGTTCATGTTCATGTTCATGTTCATATTCATGTTAATTTTCATGTTAATTTTCGTGTTCATGTTTATAATCATGTTCTTGTTCATGATCATGTTCATGTTCATGTTCATGTTCATGTTCATGTTCATGTTCATGTTCATGTTCATGTTTGGTTTCATACGCATGTTCATGTTCGTTTTCATACGCATGTTCATGTTCATGTTTATGTTAATATTCATGTTCATTCACATGTTCACGTCCATGTTAATATTCATGTTCATTTTCATGTTCATATTTTTTTTCATGTTCATGTTTATGTTTATTTTCATGTTCATATTCATGTTAATTTTCATGTTCATATTCATGTTAATATGCATGTTCATTTTCATGTCCATTTTTATGTTCATGTTCATATTCATGTTTTTTCATGTTCATAATCATGATAATTTTCATGTACATTTTCATGTTCATGTTAATTTTCATGTTCATGTTCATGTTCATGTTAATTTTCATGTTAATGTTCATGTTCATGTTTATGTTCATCTTCATGTTCAAGTTCATGTTCATGTTCATGTTCATGTTCATGTTCATGTTCATGTTCATGTTCATTTTCATTTTCATTTTCATGTTAATGTTAATTTTCATGTTCATGTTCATATTCATGTTCATTTTCATGTTCATGTTAATTTTCATGTTAATGTTCATGTTCATATTTATGTTAATATTCATCTTCATGGTCATGGTCATGTTCATGTTCATGTTCATGTTCATGTTTATGTTCATTTTCATGTTCATGTTTATTTTCATGTTAATATTCATGTTCATTTTCATGTTCATGTTTATTATCATGTTCATGTTCATATTCATGTTTTTTCATGTTCATATTCATGTCCATATTCATGTTAATATTCATGTTTATTTTCATGTTCATGTTAAGTTTCTTGTTAATTTTCATGTTAATTTTCATGTTCCTGTTTATTATCATTTTCATGTTCATATTCATGTTTTTTCATGTTCATTTTCATGTTCATGTTCATATTCATGTTTTTTCATGTTCATGTTCATATTAATTCTATATCTTAATATTTCTATGTTCTATTCTAGATCTCAGTACAAAGACCTTGTAACTGGCAAGGATGAATTTATTGCAGTAACTCAGTTCCAAGCAACCGACGCCAGGAAATCAAACAAAAACGAAAAATTTTGAGCGAAAAAATTAGTTAAAGTTGCCTAAGCAGAAAACTTTAGAATTAAGGATATCAAGATCAATGCTTGATCTCCTGTTTTTCTTAATCTTAAGATTATTTTAATCCTAAGGTTGTATCCAGGAAATTGAGTTTAAAAATCCACCAATAAGAGTTGCGTATACAGACCCCGGTCCCCGAACAGCCAATAAGAAGCTGGGAAATTTGAAATTTGCGCGCGCAAAAATAGAGTGGATTAAAGTGGAAAATAAAAGTGTCCACATTGAATATTCAGATTAAGCAATCAGGATTCAAGGTATCCAATTCTTAAGTTTCCTGAGCTGAAAACTTTAGAATGGTGGATATCAAGATCATTGCTTGATCTTCTTTTTTATTATTCTCCAGATTAAATATGGCCTGTTCTGCTCTTGTTATTTATCTCCAGATTAATTAACAGATCGGGATTAAGGATATCCCATTCTAAAGTTTTAAGCTCAGCTCTGAAAACACAGCTTTTTCTAGAAACTAAGTTAACTTAAAAAAATTTAACTATAAGCCAAGATCATTCTTATTCTACCTAGTTCCCTCTTCAATTCAAGTCTAATCAGACAAGGAAATCAGCTGACTTGTGAACGTACAAACACCCAAACATACAAACATACATACACCCATACAAACATACAAACAAGTTTTACTTCTTTATAGATTAAATATTAGTTTGGGAATCTAGCGTTGCCTAAAAACTAGAGTTTCTCTAGAAAATTCAACTAGCAAAACTTTCTAAACCAAGCTAAGAAAATTTCTGTGGTTCTTCCAAGTTCCACAAAAACAGACACATAGATCCAGCCACATAGATCCAGACACATAGATCTAGACACATACTGCCAGACGTCTATGAAAATCTGCATCAATTTTTTATATTGCGTTGACTTTGAAGTGTTATTTTAGAACTTGCTTGTAGCTTTTTTTTTTTAGAAGAAATTGGCATAATTCTTTTCATTTTTTTGCACGAAAGCTTGCAACCTTTGGAAAACTGTGATGTAGATATATTTTATCATATTTGGGGTCGGAGGAGGATATTGGGAAAGAATATTTCAATATATGGTACACAAAATTTACCCACGAATATTGAAAACGCAGGCGGGTTGGGGGGGGGGGGGTTGAATATCATTACAATATTAAAGAAGATAAGGGCAAAAGAAATTGTGTTATGTTTCTAGACTTTGTCATTTCTGTCATAAAACAAGCAAAAATACTTTAAAAACTTTCTTTTAATTTTTTCTTTTTTTGCAAAATATTATGATCTCTTCGCTCATACATAAATCTACTTAGGATTACAGCAAGCATGAAACATTATGCACAGTGAGATTCTGAAATAAATTAAAATTTTTAAATTTGATTATTTTAATAAATATATATTTTATGAATATTCGTATAGATATATATTTATACAGAATCCGCTCCAAATTTAAACATTTTAATTTATTTCAGAATCTCACTGAACATAAAGTTTCATGCTTGCGGCAATCCTAAGTAGATTTATATGTTAGCTATAGCTGGCCGAAGGGCTGGACCAAATTGGCTGATTTTTTTTAGGGAACCCTTGGGAATTTGGTATCCCCGGGGTAACATAAGCTAAAAAATTGTTGTTATTTTTCAAAATTTTAAATTTTATTTTTGATAAAATTTTTCTTTTTATTGAATTTTTTTTTCAAAATTCGAATTTTTTTTTTTTTTCAAAACTCCACGAACAACGCCAGTAATCCTTGAATTTTTCAAAAAATATATTTTGTTTTGTGTTTGAAGGCGGAGTTTTCCTTGTTTTGACGAGCCTGCGCTGAAAGCCAAGTTTGAGGTTAGTACTTATTATATTTTTTAGATTTCATATTTTTATTAATTATTTTTCCCCTGATAATTGAAAGTTTCTTAGCTCATGCTTTACGAAGTAGATATTGACAGAGCATATATTGATAGAGGTTCAGTGTACTGAGTACAACAGGCAAGCTGCCCAAAACTGTACAATTTTAGAAAAATTTGAATCATTTGTGTACGTTTTCTTTTAAACAAGTTAGTTTACAAGTTCTTCTAATGCTCTTTTTAATTGCTTACATTTTAGGGGAAAAAAAAATCTTTCTCTCAGATCCCTTAGATTTAGTAATTGAAAACAACCCCTCCAGTAAGTGTACTGCAGTAGGAACACCACTTCCTCTTGAAATCGAGGTTTCGCGAGATAAGTTGTCTGAGTGTCTATCTTTGTCTATGTTTCTAATGTTGAATGCCCTCAATTGTAATTTTCTGAACAGATTTGAAAACTTTAGAACTGCGGATATCTTGATCAATGCTTAATCTCCTTTTTTGTATTAATCTTACATTAATATCCTGGAAAGTATTTAAAATGCAACCAATCAGAGTGTCAATGGAAGAAACTATACAGCCAATCAGAAGCCGAGAATTTTGAAATTTGGCACGCGATAAATGGGAGAACTATTATTGGTCGGAATCCAAAAGAGAGGATTAAGAAGATAATAGCGCATACAGAGATATCTGCAATGCAAGAGTTTTCAGCTCAGACTCTTTAAAATTTCACCTCTCAAGCCTTCTCCTTGTGTGTACATGTGCACATGAGACTGTAAAGACGACTTTAAACTCTAAAATATGACGATCTAAAGATTAAATTAAGCCTTCTGCTTACTTTATAATGATTTGACAAAAAAAAACTTAAAAGTTTTATTGAATCATATTGAATCATAAAATCCGTACAGTCGTATCTGAAGTCGCATCCTTTGTGGGTAGACTTGGATGTTGTAACTTTTGAATTGTGGAACTTATTTAAATTAGCTTATTTACGCACGCCAGAAATATATTCTTGTCTGAAAACGAAGCTTTAAAGTAGTAGTTCTTGTTTTGCTGAATATTGTTTACTCATACATTTTATGTACTGCAAGTACTCCATTTGGTAACCGCCAAAAAGTTCTCTGAAAAAAGGTTTTGGAAATAAAGTCCTAATTTTTAGGAAAGAATCTAAAACTCGGGGTTTTATTTTCAGTGGCATTTTGTTTTTGGACTTCAGAAAATTGGGACTTTTTACCAAAGTTTTATTTTCCCAGAAACTTTTTATCCGATGACTTTCTTACTATAGATTTCTCTATTTACTCTAACTTCTTTTTGTACTCCATGTACTCTATGTAAATTGTACACTATGTACTCTATGTACTCTATGTACTCTATGTACTCTATGTACTTTATGTACTCTATGTACTCTATAAACACTATGTATTCATGTACTCTATGTGCTCTATGTACTCATGTACTCTATGTACATATGTATTCATGTACTCAATGTAATCTATGTACTCTGTGTACTATATGTATTCATGTACTCTATGTGCTCTATGTACTCTATGTACTATATTTATTCATGTACTCAATGTACTCTATGTACTCTGTGTACTTATTGTATTCATGTACTCTATGTACTCTATGTACTCTTTGTACTGTAGGTTAGCCTGGGAAGAACCCGTGATATGTCCAGCATATCAAATATGCCAATAAGGTGAATACTTATATTACATATTCTAATGCTTTTTTAACATTTTTCATCACTGTGTTGGATTTTTTAAAAAGTTAGGGACAAAAAAATATTTTACGCTTTTTCGTTTTTTAACGAGTCGAGAACTTGAGATGTGGTCTCACAATTCTTATTAATAGTTAACCTAATTCTCTTTTTCTGATATTTCTTGTTTTTTCTTGTTTTTGTTTCCCGAGACTTTTTTTAATTAAATAATTTTTGACACTTTTTATCAATTTTCAAATTTTTTTTTTTCACTTTTCATGACTTTAGGTAAGTTTTTTTATTTTTTGTCTAAATTTTCCTTCTTAGGGTTAAAAAATGCCATTATTTATCTGTGGAAAATGTTTATTCTAAACATTTATTTTTTTTACACAATGTCACATTTTGACCCGGATAGAGATAATGTGCAAAAAACGAATTAAAAACGAAAGTGTTCTAAATAATAGTTTTGAACTATTAATTCGAACTTTGTTCAAAATCTATAAAATCTAAATCCCAAACTGTTAGTTTCTCAACAGATTTAAAAAACACTTAGAAGATAGGTCTGAAGGAACAACACATTTGTTATTTCCGGCTGGAGTAGTATCTCTAGAATCTTAAATAAACATCTTCAACGCGAAGTTTAAAGATAAGCAGACACAGAAGAAACAAATTTTACAGAGTTTATGTATTCTCTGCTCAGTATTCTGATGTTAATGTGCAATAGGGCCGGTTATACATTTGCTTTTTTTATTTTAATAAGAAATTGTACAGTTTTACCATAACTTCAGAGGAATCTTAAGAATTTATCAAATGTCGTTATGACAATTTTTCAATGGGATTTATACTATTACGAGGCTTTTAGAGCTCATCTTCTATTTCAATTGTGAACATTTTCTCTTTGTGTGCATTGCAAAACAAAAACAAAAGAAAATGTTCGCGTATTCCATTAAACAAAATTTCGTGCTTGAGCTTTGTAAAATCAAAAACTATTTAAAAGAAAACGCAAATAAAAAGATTAACATAATACAGAAATAAAACAATTTTGCCATTATTTAATAGTGACATTTTGTTTGCACAATTGCATATTTTTTTTAATAATTTTTTTCTCAATTTGAATTCTGCACAAGGTTCTGATTTGCTTGAAGTGTCTAAATCTCTGAACAATTAAACGACAAAAATATTCGTTGTTAAAAAATAAGTCAACACACAAAACTAGAATTTTAATTTTACGCACGATAAAATTTATACGGCCGGTTATATTTATAGATATCACATAGATTCTGCCTGCTTCTAAAAAGTCACATCAATTTGTAAAACATGGTCGACTTTAAAGTGTCGCAACACCTTAGGATTTGATTTTACCGCTCGAACTAACTTATGCTTTTCTGAAGCCCTTTACATGTACATTTCAGCACAATAAAGTACTTGTTAGATTTGGTTTTTAAGAAGTAATTATCAAAATTCTTATTGATTTTTGCTTGAGAGCATGAGACCTTTAATTCTCATCGAGATATATAGATATCTATATATATATAAACGTTTTTGTTTATTTGCTTCAATCAGAAGAATTATGATGTGAAAAAAATCAATCTTTCGGGCCATTTACTATAGTATGCTGTACTATTAGTATCAAGCTAAGCAAAAACCTGAATAAGTGTTTAAAATAAGCCAATCTGAGCCTGCGATTGAAAAAAATCGGGAAAATACGGCTCGGGTCTAAGCCTGCAACTCTTTGGACCTTATTTACGGCTTGAGCTTTCTAATTCAAGCTGCATCTATATTTTCCACCGCGTTAAATTCAAAAACCGGTTTAATATTCTATTTGGCGGATTTTCATGGTAGGAATTGGCGCATTCCCAGTTTTTATGAGAACAAGATTCAACATTGAGCCTTAATATTCTCCACTAAAACCTACCAAGCTAGGTCGGTTTTATTTTCATTGGGCCTAGCTCCTTAAGTCGAGCCAAAGATCTTGCAGCTGTCAATCACGTGACACAAGCTGTCGTCAGAGTTAGGTGAAAGATTGGGTCTAAAAACCGGGTTAAGGAATTACGGCTCGAGCCGAAGTTTTAAAATTACGGGCTTTGATATTTGAAAATGCTGATTACATTTATGTATAGTTGTTGCTTTCTCAATCACTGATTTCACCAAAAAGAAATTCGCACTTTCTATATTTTGGCTAAAATTGACAAAGACCCTGGTTTTTAGGATTGAAGGTGAGGATATGGCCGAGGATACGAGCTATGTCTGGGATCATTATATGGAAAGTGTAAAGGTCGGATATTAATTCTCTAAAATAAGGGAGTGTTCAGGATTTGCTAAAAGAAGAAGGGGTAGAAAGAGTAGAATGAAATAAATTAACTCTGTATTTTCTATGGAAGGAATTGAGTTTTTGCCACAAACTCAAATTTTCTAATCCCTATATCTACATCAAGTTGCAAAGATATGAAGATTTGAAGATCAGAGATTGTGGCAACAACTTAATTTATTTAACAGGCAAAGTATTACACCAAATTTTATCCATATATCTGAATGAATATAAATATTAAATAGACAAATTTGTATTGTTCAAAGTAAACATTTTTTTTTAAATTGAAGTAACCTTCTTTCCAAAATGTGAAATTATTCCTTTTCAAAATTTTTTAATTTCAGACAAAATTACTTTTCTTCATGGTTGTCAGGAAGATACCATCGCTCCGTTTCATAAATCAGTAGATCTCAGAGATTAGACATTTTTCAAAGGTTAATTTGAAAAATGAACTTTTTAATATTTTTTTTTCAGATGTCAACCTATCTCGTGGCGTTTGTTGTGAGCAAGTTCGATAACAGGAAATATAGATTAAAGAATATTTCAAAACCTTTGATTAAGATTTTTTCTCCTCAAGGATTTGAGTTATTGTAACAAACTCTGATTTTCTAATTCCTATATATTTGCAACCCAATGTCGTTAATGTTGGATATTTCAAACTATGATTTATGTTAGATCAAATAATATCAAAGGTTAACACCATCAGGTTGCAAAGATATAAGTTAAGTTAAAATTCGAGATTGTCGCATGAGCTCAATTCCTTTCATCAACAATGCTTTTTTTTTATTTTTAAAATGAACATTTCTGAAAAAAAACTTTTTAAAGGTAATAGTTTTTTACATTTAAATCCAAAATAAGCACGTTTTTATTGTTAGAGATTAAAAAATGATTTATAAATGATTAATAAACAGACATCAAAGGTATCGAAATATGTTAAAGAGGAGAAAGTTTAAAACATTTTATATATATATATATATATATATATATATTAATGGATTAAAAGTTCTGTTGGAAATATTTTTTCAACCAAAAAACTTCACTTTTTTAACCGAAAAAAAACGACGACAGAGTTTTAAAATAAACCTAAAATTCATTTTTTTCTGAAAATAGATTTATTTCGTGTTCAATTTATGTTTACAATCTATTATTCTTATATGGAATAAAAAATTGTAAACATTTTCCCTTGAACATTTTTTTCATTGTAGAACGTTCTTTGACATACTACGGTTGTAGGCGGTTATATCAATATAATAAAGACGACTTTTTTATTGAATTTTAATTGTTAACAAACTATTTTCAAATTACAAGTTTACAAGTAATTAATGAGAAGCTTTTTTATTGGCAGATTCTCTTTGTTTCCATGTTTATGTGTATGTTTAAAAGCTTGATTTAAATCAAAATTTAAATCGAAAGTCGTCTTCATTATATTGATATTATCAACTACCAACGTATATTTAGTTCAAAAATAAAAAAATTAAATCATCTTATTTCTGAAAATAGATTTATTTCATATTATTTTTAATTTTTTAAATCTATTATTATTATTAGAGAGGAAACCAGATCAAATAATGTTAAGTTCAGAATTTGGTCAAGGTAAATTTTCTCAAGATTGTTTTCTATAGGATCACGTGCGTAAAAGTTCGTTAATTAGACCCCCACCACCACCTTATACACATACATCTTAACAGTTTGTTTTTAATCTTTTGTGACAATGAATAATAATTGTCCTAAAACTATTTTTTAAAAGTGAATAATTTCAAATCTTTTTTCTATTTCATAATCTGAGTTCGTTTCCCTTTTGTTCATTTGACAGCCCACAATTCTTTTAAATAATTTTTTTGTTTGATTATTTTCTTGTGGTTTTTAACAATTTAAAATAATTTTTTTATCAATTTTGATGGTTATTATATCGTTAAAACTGACGAGGGTATACCCAGACCGAAATATATTTTCAATAAATGTGGAACTTACATCTACTTTTTTTACTCTACAGAGGTTTGGTCCATCACCATCACCAAATACTCGCAACAAAACTATGATTTTCCTTCAATCCCTTTGTCTTTGCATCCTAATAATAGTGTAAGCCTATAAAATTTTAAACAATTAGATCTAGCTGAGTTAGTAGAATATCAAAGAATTATGAATTCAGGTTGCAAAGATATTATGGATTAGAGTTTGTAGCGAGTGTTCAGTTTTATTAAATAATTTTATTCAGCATTCTTATTAAATTGATATATTTTTGAAAAGCTAGGGTGGAAGAAAAAATGTGAAAATTTACATTATTTTGCTTTCAAATCTGATAATTCAAACTTCATGTTGAATTTTTTTTTCATTATTAAGATTCTTTAAATTTTAACTTAAGGGGATTGACCGGCTTTGTAAGTTAGTTGAACTGAGTATGCAGTCTTGTGGAAAACTTCTTTCGAATTCATTTGAGACATATTAAACTTTTTAAAGATCTGTAAATCCTGAGTTTGAGCACAAATTCGACGTTCAAAACTCCTACTATGGGGGTGGATACGTTTTCAGAATTAGTTTTTTTTAATTATTAAATAACGACGACATAAAATGCTAAAAAGTTCAACAATAAACTACAGACGTCATGATTAGGAACTTGTTGAGAAAATAAAAAATTAATCTTATCATCGAAAATAAGTAATCTTGTTCAATTATTAGTTTCTATTATCTCATTATTCTGGTTTCTCATTTTTCACAAAGATTTTCGCAGATTTTCTAAAATTATTATTGAAAAGACGACAAGATATACAGGGTACCGATGTTAATCTTTAAATTTAGAATCACTTTAAATTTCAACAATAGTCCCATTAATAATAGAATTAAATAAGTTAACGATAAAATGGAAGGGCAAGTATCTGCTTCTTCTGTTTTTAACTACTTTTTAACTTTTAATTTATCAAAAATATTTGTAATAAATTCTATTATTTGTTTAGATCTGATGCTGTAGATCAGACAGAGTACGCCAGGTATAAAAAATATTTAAAAATTGAAGAATAAAAATATTTGTTTGGAAACCCAGCTTTGCCGCTGGAAACTAAACTTTCTCTATTCGGGTCTAAACACTGAACTAAGTTTGCGATCAAAATTTGAGTCAAATCCGTCAATGGGTTCGAAAGATATGATAAAGAACATACAAATAAACAAACAAAACAGATAAACAAACACTGATTACTAATTATAAAATTTCCCTGTTCCTGCGGTCAAACCACTCAACTAAGTTCGCGATAAAAATTTGAGTCAAATCCGTCCAGGGGTTCAAGAGCTATGGTATAACATACATACAAACAATAAATAATACAGAAAGACAAACACTGATGATTACTTTAAATATATTGATACTAAAGTTTGGCAATCTAACTTTGCCATGAGAAACTAAACTTTCCTTATCAAAGTCAAAACACTCAATTTGGAATCCTTGAACGAACCCAAAAACCGGTACGTTTGCTGCAGTGTATAATATCAAACCTGCAATAAAAATTTACAAAATAGCTTTAAAAAAGTAAAATTTCATCAAGATTGGGATGATTTTTCTACTACTATATATTTAGTAATATAAAAGACTCGAATATTGTAAGATATTGTAAGAATAAGATTAAAAAGTTATAGAAATAAATTGATATAGATAACAGGCCAAACTTTTATAACGTACAAAACTTTAAGGGAGCTTCATCACGTATTTTTAGATACAATTTTAGCATTTATAATGTTGTTTTTTACCATACTCCAATCAACAAAAATGTTCGTTGACTTTTTGTTTAAATTAATGGATTTTCAGAAATCGAGAAATTAACATTTTTTTACTGGCAACATTTTTCAATATCAACCAGTTATAAACCTTTCCTGGAGTCGATCATGTATGTTTGCCACAAAATATTTGGCCCAATCAGTTCAGCAAGCGCTGATTGGAAACAAACAAACAAGCAAATGTGTATTTAGAAAGTTTAAACGAGTTGTTTTCAACAAATGTAAATTTTTCGTAAATATTTATGTATTTTTTGTCTAATTTATAAATATTTCCAAGCATTAAAACATCGGTAGGATTTGTTTCATGTATTTTGAATAAAAGTTCAAAATATAACATATCTTTATTTCAGATCGATCCGATCGATCTAGATAGTTTATTGTAAAAAAAATCATCTACAGAGATGTAACTACTAACTATAACTTCAAGTCCCTAGGCCTGAAGGTTACTATTGAAGCAAACATTACTGAAACTGATTTCTTAGATCTATATCTCAATTTGAAGGACTGCACATATAGACCTTATAGGAAAGGCAATAATCCAATCCTGTATATCAATGCTAAGTCAAACCATCCACAAAGCATAAAGAAACAGCTAATATGTGATGAAAAAATCTTGGAATTGTAGTTGTTCAAAGAATTGTAGCTACTGAGGATCGTCATGATAGACGTGAAACATTATGTTTAGTATAATTCTTTTTTTAATAAAAATGTGAAGTTAAAAACTGAAATATATATATATATATATATAAAGGGTTTAAAAGGGATTAAAACAGAAGAGATTCACATGGTAAACAGTAAAATTTAACTGTTTAAAGTTAAATTATTTTTTCCAAAAAATTTTCCAGATCCCAAGACCCAACCTTAATTGTGCATTTCAATAAAACGTTGAACTTTTTTATCAATGATAAATAACTAGGGATATTGGACCGAAGATTCTAGAGTTTTTCGAGAACTACTTCCAGGTTCCCTTCCCCCTACCCAAACAGGACATGATTGCTATTCCTGACTTCGGAGCAGGAGCTATGGAGAACTGGGGGCTTATCACATACAGGTTAAACACCGTTATTTTTATTTAAATTAGGAGAGTTAAATACAAATTAAGGGATTTCCGCGAGCAAGAAAAATGAGAAAAAAATTATTGAATCATAAAAAAACATCATTTTTATTCATAATTATTATCATTATTATTACTATTAGGGAGACTGCACTATTGTACAAGGATGGAGTAAGTGCTGCTTCTAACAGGGAAAGGATTGCTATTGTTATATCTCACGAGCTTGCTCATCAATGGTTCGGTAAGTTTATTTAGTAGAGATACATTTAATTCTTAAAGGGAGAGACTGGCTATGAAAACGTGTTTGTACCGAGAGTGCAGTTTAAAAAGGAAACTTTTAGGATTTATTTGAAACCAAATGGGACGTTTTTACTGTGTATAATACTGTGAAATTTGACCAAAAGGGGTGGTCCGCAGAAGAAAAGTTTTTTACTTAAAAACCCTGAAAAAATATGTCTAAAATTTGTTCTCAAAAGAAAATATCAATGAAAGCTATGGTAGAATCGATTATTTTATCATTTTATTCTATTCTATTCTATTATTTTATTCTATTTAAATGTTATTAATGTTGATCAAGATGTATTATCAGACCGATTTGTCAATTTTTGTTTTGCTTTTAAATCAACTTTTGTCCGAGTTTAATGTTTCCCAATACAACTTACAATAAAAGAAAACTCTAAAACGTTATACACATTTACGGTTTGAAGTATAAAGGAATTGAGTTTTTGCCACAATGCCACAATTCCACTCAAATCTTCTGATCCCAATATCTGTGCAACCAGATGGTGCAAACCTTTGATATTTCAAACTTAGATTATTTTATCTATAAGTATTAATAGTTTGAAATATCTAAGGTCTACGACATTGGGTTGCAAAGTTATAGAGAATAGAAAATCAGAGTTTGTGGCAAAAACTCAATTCCTTTCTACATGGATTTTTTATCCAAGAAATAGGAAATAAATCGCATCGAATAAAAGTAGTCTCAGGGAAAGATCTTTCTCCATAAAAAGTGGTTTAAAGTTAATTCTAAGATTTTGTATTTTCTTAAAATAAGTTTTCGAGGAATACTTTCTCATTTCTCTTTGTTCTATTTCCTGTTAGATCTTGTTTAAAAACTTTCCAAACATATTATTGTGATTAAAAATATTATATTAAATACATTTAGATTAATATACGACATAGAGACGTTGTATTGACTTTTCCAACGGTGTACCATTGCGAGGAATTGCGCGGAATTACGAGGAATTACAGGGTTCGCAATTGTGCGAAAGAAAAATCCACTTGCATTGGGAGCGGGGAAGGCAGGCTGCCATAAGCCAAAACATTTTTCCCTTCCATGCCACACATTAGCTTTTTTGTCTTCCGGCAGCCATGAGCCACAACCGTACGGTCTTCCATGCCACAGCATTTAAGTCTTTCGGCAGTTATTAGTTTTTTAAATTATAAATTTACTGCATTGCAGTTGTGATTATCAATAATCCATAAACGTCTTGCCCAAAAAAAAAATTTATTAAGAACTATATATATTTTTTTTTAATTGAAAAGATGACTTTTCCTTTAATGTAAAAACAAATTCAATCTTTCCTCTAAAATGTTTTTTTTAACATTATGAACAATAAAAATAATAAAAATAATGCACCATAACAAAATACTAAAGTTCAAAGGGCGCCCATAATCAATAATTTGCACTTTTTAACAAGAAAATTGAAAAATTGATTTTTTTTGAAAGCTATAACGCTCAGGTAATATCAGTTAATATTGTGATTTTTCTCATTATTTTTTTATTTAAACTACCTCAAAAAATTTGTCTCAGTGCCCACAATGTGTAAAATGATGTAAAATTTTCTTTATAAATGTAAAGCAGTTTACAACACACAATTCATTGATCTTAAATAAACTTCTAAATTTTTTTAAGTTATCATCTTTCGCGTAATGCGGCAGGATTTTTCAAAATTGCAATTTCAATACTCTAAATTTATCATTTAAAAACGTAATAACTGCTGGAAGACTCAAATGCTGTGGCATGGAAGACCGTACGGTTGTGGCTCATGGCTGCCGGAAGACAAAAAAGCTAATGTGTGGCATGGAAGGGAAAAATGTTTTGGCTTATGGCAGCCTGCCTTCCCCGCTCCCAATGCAAGTGGATTTTTCTTTCGCACAATTGCGAACCCTGTAAGACCGTGCGGTTGTGGCTCATGGCTGCCAAAAAAAAAGAATATGCAGCATGGAAAGGGAAGATGTTGTGGCTTATGGCCGCCTGCCTTCCCCCGCTCGAATTAAAAACCTAAATTAGCCTTTTTTGCCGTGTTGGAACGAACTCAAGATAAAAAAGTCTGGTTATGGGGTGGGTATGTGCGTTGGTCAAAATAGTTAGGTACTAATATTGTTCCGACGCTAAAAATCTATCTGAAAGACGCTAAAAGATGAAAATTGCACAAAAAGCTGTACAGTGTACATATTAAGGGTAGCAAGTATAAAATAATGTAAACCCGTTCTTAAGGGACTTAATACGATTTACATATGTAAAATTCAACAAAAAAGTATTCAGAGCTTTGTGGGTTAAAAAGAGGTTATTTCAAGCAAAATTAAATTTTAAATGCTAAATGACCAAATAACAGTGAAGAACATTGATTAGGTAACCTGGTAACCCCCCCTGGTGGTCTGATCTCTGGTTGAATGAAGGTTTGTTGATTAGGTAACCTGGTAACACCCTCCTGGTGGTCTGATCTCTGGTTGAATGAAGGGTTTGCCTCCTATGTTGAGTATCTTGGCGTAGATGCTGTGAAGCCAGAGCTTAAACTTCTTGAACAATTTGTGGTCCAGGATTTACAGGTAGATAAACAGGAGTACAGGTTGATAAACAGAAGTATAGGTAGATAAACAGTAGTACAGGTAGATAAACAGTAGCACAGGTTGATAAACAGGAGTACAGGTTGATAAACAGAAGTATAGGTAGATAAACAGCAGTACAGGTAGATAAACAGAATATACAGGTAGATAAACAGTAGCACAGGTTGATAAACAGAATATACAGGTTGATAAACAGGAGTACAGGTACATAAACAGGAGTACAGGTTGATATACAGAATATACAGGTAGATAAACAGGAGTACAGGTAGATAAATAGAATATACAGGTTGATAAACGGGAGTACAGGTAGATAAATAGAACATACTGGTAGATAAACAGGAGTACAGGTAGATAAACAGTATTACAAGTAGATAAACAGGAGTACAGGTAGATAAACAGGAGTACAGGTAGATAAACAGGAGTACAGGTAGATAAACAGAAGTTCAGGTTGATAAACAGAATATACAGGTAGATAAACAGAAGTGAGGGTTGATAAACAGTAGTACAGGTAGATAAACAGTAGTACAGGTAGATAAACAGGAGTACAGGTAGATAAACAGGAGTACAGGTAGATAAACAGTAGTACAGGTAGATAAACAGAATATACAGGTAGATAAACAGGAGTACAGGTATATAAACCGGAGTACAGGTATATAAACAGGAGTACAGCTAGATAAACAGGAGCACAGGTAGATAAACAGGGGTACAAATATATAAACAGGATTAGAGGTTGATAAACAGGAGTACAGGTACATAAACAGGAGTACAGGCAGATATGCAGTTTACAGTTTATTTTTTAAGGATGTTTTAAGAATAGATGCTTTAGAGTCTTCTCATCCTATTTCCATTCCAGGTAATCATTCTCATCCCATTCATAATAGGTATTTTCATCCCAATAATTTCTTAGAGATGTCATCCATTTCAAAATTTTAGGTATTTTCATCCCATTAATTTCTTATAAATATCATCCATATCCTAATCCTAGGTAATTCATCCCATTAATTTCGAATAGATTTCATTCATATCCATTTCCTCGGTATTTTTATCTCATAAATTTCTTATAGATGTCATCCATAGCCATATCCTAGGTATTTTCATCCCATTTATCACTTATAAATTTAATCCATATCCATGTTAAATCAGTCAATCTAATTGTTTTTCTTAAATTATAAATCAAATTATAATATAAGGTTCAAATAATTTAATGGAAAAGTTATGAACCTAAAAGGGGAAAAATCAGCAGTAAAAATGAAATGAAAAGAAAAAATCATATGTTAAATTTATAAATTTTGAAAATTAATGAAGTTATGGAAGAAACGTATTTTTCCTGAAAAAGTTAAACTAAGTGTTAAAAAATGACTTTAAAATTAGTGAGCCTTTAGTTTCAACCCTATTTTAACTTTAAATTTATAAGTTTCCTTTAAGCTTGGAGTTAAAAAATATTCCACACTTCAGATGTTTATTCCAAGTATGCTTGAAAATATTTTTCTGTCTAGTAAAGCATCCGGATAAGATTTATGAGATATTTGGCCGGATATATGACATGTTTGATTTAAAGTTAAGCATCCGGATAAAATTAGTGAGATATTTGACCCGATATATGACATGTAAAATCTATAGTTAAGCATCCGGATAAGATTAGTGAGATATTTAACTGGATATATATGAGATATTTGTATTCTATAGTAAAGCATCCGGATGAGATTAGTAAGATATTTAACTGGATATATATGACATGTTTATTGTAAGTTAAAGCATCCAGATGAGTTATTAAGATATTTAACCGGATTTATGACATTGTTGACGGAAAACAGCAACACGCTAGACAAATCAGGATAATAGGCCAGTTAGGATTCTGGTGGGGGATGTTTATTTTCCCCGGACAATTCTTTCCCGATAGGCCGCACAAATACACACAACAGAGTAACCCCGTCTCAGAAATTCGATAACAAAATCTTTATTTCCTAAAAATAACATAAATTATAGGTCATGGTTACTTGTACAATGTTATAATGAATATTAATAGTAGAAAAAATCTTACGAATTATTAAGGGGTGATCGGGGGAGACTTATTGTTGATCAGTATTGAAATACGTTTTTTTAACTTCTGAAAAATTACAGTTGAATATTTAACGAAATTCACTAATGCTTCTTATGAACATATTTTGCTTAACTTTAATGATTTCACAATAACGAAAATATTTTAAGCTCCGTGGGAGGAGTACAAAGGGAATTGCGGGCTGAAAATTTGGTTTGGCTGTCTCCGAGAGGAGATTCAAGTTGAAGACGACATTTTGCAGAGGTCTTAAAATTAATGGTTAACAGACATGTTTATTGTAAGGTAAAGCATCAAGATGAGTCATATGACATGTTTAATGTATAGTAAAGCATCCGGATGAGATTAGTGAGATATTTAACTGGATATATATATGACATTTGTATTCTATTGTAAAGCATCCGTATGAGATTAGTGAGATATTTAACTGGATATATATGACATGTTTAATGTATAGTAAAGCATCCGGATGAGATTAGTGAGATATTTAGCTGGATATATATAACATTTGTATTCTATAGTAAAGCATCCGGATGAGATTAGTGAGATATTTGACCGGATCAGCTATGGTAAAGGAGCTTCTATAATTCGGATGATGGATAACTTTCTAACTAGTAAAACGTTTAAACAGGTGAATAAATACACTTTTGAATATTGAATTGAATTGAATTGAATATTTTGAATTATCTGCAGTCGAAGTTTGTCATCATTTTTTTAGCTTGAATTTTTATTAAATTTTGAAAAATATGATTTATACATAAGTGGAAAAATTTAATTTTGATTAATTTAAATTTTATTGAGCAGTTTTGAAAAATTAATAGTTTAATATTAAATATTCAATTTATTATTAGTATGTCAAATTTTATCCTAAAAGTTTTTGAAATCGAAATTTTGAATTTTTGGACAAATATCTTATTGAAAAAAAATAGATTTTTTAATAATTAGACGAAAAGAATTTTTAATTAAAATTGGCGATCAAAAAGTTCAATCCAAAAGAACACACAGATTAAAGCACTATATCCTACTGAACTAAACACTGTTAATAACCTTTATGTTAAAAAATTAACGAACTACCCTACTTTACATTGTTCAATAACCTATATGTTCAGGGATTAATGAACTACCCTACTAAGCACTGTTCAATAACATTTATTTTCAGAAATTAACGAACTACCTTACTTAACACTGTTCAATAACCTCTATATTCAGGGATTAACAAACTATTTGACTGACTGTTCATCCACCTTAATGTTTGGGGATTAACGAACTACCCTACTAAGCACTGTTCAATTACCTTTATATTCAGAAGTTAACGAACAACCCTACTTAACACTGTTAAATACCCTCTGTGTTCAGGGATTAACGAATTATGTGACTGAACTGAACACTGCTCAAAAAACTATATGTTCAGGGATTAACGAACTACCTTCTAAGCACTGTTCAATAACCTTTATGTTCAGAAATTAACAAACTACCCTACTTAACACTGTTCAATATCCTCTGTGTTCAGGGATTAACGAATTATTTGACTGAACTGAAGTTCAAAGCTGCTGAACAAGATGATCTTTGGAGGCATTTAACCCAGCAGGGACATAGGTACAGGGTGTCCTTTAGTTCAACCTATATTCAGGGTGTCCTTTAGTTGAACCAATATACAGGGTGTCCTTTAGTTCAACCAATATACACGGTGTCTATAATTCAACCAATATACAGGGTGTCTATAATTCAACCAATATACAGGGTGTCTATAATTCAACCAATATACAGGGTGTGTATAATTCAACAAATATACAGGGTGTCCTTTAGTTCAACCAATATACACGGTGTCCATAATTCAACCAATATACAGGGTGTTTATAATTCATCCAATATACAGGGTGTCTATAATTCAACCAATATTCAGGGTGTATATACTTCAACCAGTATACAGGGTGTCTATAATTCAACCAATATACAGGGTGTCTATACTTCAACCAATATACAGGGTGTCTATAATTCAACCAATATATTGGTGTCTAAACTTCAATCAATATACAGGGTGACTATACTTCAACCAAGATACAAGGTGTCTATAATTCAACCAATATACAGGGTGTCTATAATTCAACAAATATACAGGGTGTCTATAATTCAACCAATATATTGGTGTCTAAACTTCAACCAATATACAGGGTGACTATACTTCAACCAATATACAGGGTGTCTATACTTCAACCAATATACAGGGTGTCTCTAATTCAACCAAGATACAGGGTGTCTATAATTCAACCAATATACAGGGTGTCTGAAGTTCAACCAAGACACAAGGTGTCTATAATTCAAATAATATACAGGGTGTCTATATTTCAACCAATATACAGGGTGTCACAGAGAAAAATTAAAAGAAGCCATAGAAGTAACAGTTGTCATAAATATGGGTTTTCTAACAATTTATGGCATTTATTTTAAGTTTTACATAAAAGAGTTTTTACAAAAAAAAACATTTAACAAAAATATTTTCAGAGATGGAACCCTGCCTTCAGAAGTAACGATTAAGGAAATAATGGACACATGGACTCTTCAGACAGGATTTCCTGTACTTACTGTACAGAGGGACTATACAGACAGTACAGCTATAATAAAACAGGTAGAAAACTGTACTGCACTGTACAAAATGACTATACAGACAGTACAGCTATAAAAAAACAGGTAGAAAACTGTACTGCACTGTACAGGGGGACTATACAGACAGTACAGCTATAATAAAACAGGTAGAAAACTGTACTGTACTTTACAGAGGGACTATACAGACAGTACAGCTATAAAAAACAGGTAGAAAACTGTACTGTACTGTACAGAGGGACTAAACAGACAGTACAGCTATAATTAAACAGGTAGAAAACTGTACTGTACTTTACAGAGGGACTATACAGACAGTACAGCTATAATAAAACAGGTAGAAACTCTACTTATGCTTTACAGAAGAACTATACAGACAGTACAGCAATAATAAAACAGGTAGAAAACTGTAATTACTGTACAGAGGGACAATACAGACAGTACAGCTATAATAAAACAGGTAGAAAACTGTACTGTAATGTACAGAGGGACTATACAGACAGTACAACTATAATAAAACAGGTAAAAAACTGTACTGTACTGTACAGAACAGAGGGACTATACAGACAGTACAGCTATAATAAAACAGGAAGAAAACTGTACTGTAATGTACAGAAGAACTATACAGACAGTACAACTATAATAAAACAGGTACAAAACTGTAATTACTGTACAGAGGGACTATACAGACAGAAGATTCTGTACTACCTATACAGAGGGTGTATGCAAACAGTACAGCTGTAATGAAACAGAATAGCCTGTGCTGTACTGATTCTTGTATTTAAAAATAAGTGTGAAATTGCCATTTAAGGGATGAAAATTCTCACTGACATTTAAATAAATGAACTAGGAGACGACATAGTTAAATTATGTTTACTGAGATAAACAACTTTACCTTGAACCAGCGCAGCGCACGAAGGACATGGTTCAAATACGGCTTTATTTTTATCTTGTTATTCATAAAATCTGGTATCAGGATCTTTCATTTACCATGACCATCTACATTCTACACTCTACATTCTACACTCTACACTCTAGAGTGTAGAGTGTAGAGTGTAGAGTGTTGAGTGTAGAGTGTAGTGTGTAGAGTGTAGAGTGTAGAGTGTAGAGTGTAGAGTGCAGAGTGCAGAGTGTAGAGTGTAGAGTGTAGAGTGTAGAGTGTAGAGTGTAGAGTGTAGAGTGTAGAGTGTAGAGTGTAGAGTGTAGAGTGTAGAGTAAGGGTGATCAATATTGGAATTGAGCCAACCACCCACCAGAGGTCGCTGGGTTTTCACTTAAGAAAAATATTGCAATTAAAAAAAATTTCAAAATCGTCCAGAAGGTTGCGATTTGACGATTTAAAATCATAGAATTCACCGTCAAGCCACCAAAAAAATTTAATTTTTTATTTTCATGTTATACATTATTTTCTTGGAAATTTAATGCTGAATTCAAATCAGAAAAGCGTTTTTAAAAAAATTGAAAATTGAGTGAGTTAGAGCTAAAAAACTCATCAAAAACATTAACAAGTTAAAAAACCTGAATTTAGTGTCGTTATTTGGCCATAACTTCTTTAGATTTTAATATTTTTAAAAATGATTTTCGAATCTGAAATTTCCAATAAAATGATATGTATCATATTTATTTTTTTAAAAATATTTTTTTAGGCCTTACGGCGATTTCTCCAATAATAAATCGTCAATTCGCAACCCTATGGACGATTTTAATTTTTTTTTGATTACGATATTTTTTATAAAGTAAAAACGCAGCTACCTCAAGTGGGCGGCTGGCTGATTTCTAAAAAAAGTCACAAATCAATCACCCCTAGTGTAGAGTGTTGAGTTTAGAGTGTAGAGTGTGTATATGCCCTTGGAACTTGCAATAGATTAAATAGATTATTAGGTTCAATAGGTGGCAACAGAGAAATGGACCAATTATACATGACGTCACAAGTGTCAAATATAACAAGGAAGACACCGTTTTCTCCCATTAGTTTGCATGTTCTCCAAAATTTAAATAAAAAAGTGTAAAAACAGAAAATAAAGAACACAAAATTGCACTTATTTTACTGTAATATAAGGTCTTTATTTTCACTATTATTACTAATTTTGTCGGACAAATAAAACTGTTGACAGTTATGACGTAAGAATACAGCTGTACTGAGACTTGAGAGTGTACAAATTTTACGTTGCGATCTAATATACTTGACAATCGATTTAACCATGACTACTATTGTAGGAAAGGTTCCTATTGAGTGCAGATTCCAGTGACCCAGCTACCTGGACGTTGCGATCTAATATACTTGACAATCTATTTAACCATGACTACTACTGTAGGAAAGGTTCCTACTGAGTGCAGAGTCCAGTGACCCAGCTACCTGGTGGATTCCGGTCACCTTTACCTCACCTGGTCCAGCTGGAGACTTTAACAATACATACAACAACATCTGGATGGCCAAGGGAGAAAGGTAAATTTCTTTTTTCATTGTTATTACAGTGATAACCAGAAAACTCTGGAATAGGATGTCGACTTTTGAACTCAATAAAGGCTTTAAATAGTCCAATAAACATGAGGAACCGCAATGGTGCAGTGTAAATAGACCCATTTTACTTAATAAGTGATTTAATAACCTACTAGTAAAGCTATTTGCTTTCAAACAACTTAAGTTGGACTTCAGAACTGCTTAAATGTCGTTTCCCTATTTTACAGTGTTCTGGTTATCACTTTCAAGTCAATTATTTAGGGAACAGTAAAAATCTTTTAAAGAGTCCAGAACCATATTCTGGACAAGTTTGCTTTTATTATGTTATCCCGCGTTTCTTTAACATAAAAATCTAATCTTAATTATTTTTATTATTATTGTTATTAATATATAATCTATACAATAAAGCTCTTTGCTTATGCATAAATATATATTAGCTATATCTGACCCAGCAGTTGGACAAAATTGGACCACAGTGGTAACATATAGGCTAAAAATGTTTTAACCATTTTGAACTTCCACAGGCACTTGATTAAATACAAAACGCGGGTAAACGGTGGGAATAGCTATGACTAAGCATTCCCTGGCAACGCCCAGCACTAGCTCCAGCTCATGTATATTGTAATTATTACTATTTTTATTATTGTAATTATCCTCATTACTTCATATTGGTAATATCACTATTATCTATATTATATATAATAAAGCCCTTCGGGGCTCATATATAAATTTATATGTCAGCGATAGGTGGCCAAACGGCTGGACCAAATTAGCTAAATTTCTTTTAGGGAACCCGGCCATGGGTACCCTGGGGGGTAACATAGGCATTAGATTTTTTTATCATAAGTCTGAATTTTTGTTTTCAAAGATTTTTTCAATTTGATTTTTGTTTAATCCACAGGCAACGCCGGACACTCATTAGTATATTTTTTGTTACAGAAGTAAGAGTATCTCTGGGTTACCAGCTGCTGATGAGCCGGTCATCTTTAATGTACAAGAAACCGGTTATTATAGGTAGGTTTTTAACCTTTCCCATAGTGGAAATCTTTTCCAAATGCAATATTTTTTTCTTGAAAAACGTGTCTGGTGGCTTTCTTTGTTAATTTTAAAGCTAACATATCTGCGATTCATTTAAGATTTTAGACTGCAGCATAATGATAATAACAATAAAACTAAAAATATGCCATTTGTCGAATTTACTTTCAATTTTTTGGCAGATTTTTGCATAAAATCTTTTATTTATTAGCTTTTAAAGAAATCTTAAGATAAAATCAAAAAAGCATTTCTCACCCAATGTTTTAAGTAAGTTTTAAGAAAACAAATTTTACAATGTTTTAAAATCATATTTTTGCACTTAAACAATTATTTTGTTACCAATAACACAAACTCCGCCAAAATTGGCATCGTATTGTGTAAAACATCCCTTATTTCGTGTTATTTTAAATTCATCCTGAGGCCGAATTTAAAGAATTAAAGCCGCGGCTTATTTGATATCAAATTTGAGACGAGGCTCAAATTTATTAATTTCTTATTCTAGAGTAAATTACGATGAGAAGAACTGGGAAATGATAGCAAAGAAACTGGAAACTGATTTCAGATCTATTCATGTCATCAATAGAGCTCAGGTTTTTAAATACATATAGTAAATGTACAGAGGTTCCATAAAACTATTGAACAGGAAGACGACTTTTAGCACAAGGAATAATTTCAAATAGTTCTTAGAACAATAAAGATGAAACTCAGGAGTTGTGTGCAGTATACACAGATCCATTAAACTTCAATTTAAAAGGGTTTTTTTCAAGTTATTGGTATATAAACTATTTACTTTAAACAACAACAATTACTCATTATATTGATTAAATTTCGTCTTTCTATTCCACAGAATTATGGGCCTCGCTTTTATGAAGTCATTCAATTCTCTTTAATTAAGTAATCTTTCCAATATTCTCTTATTTCCTTTTTTCATTCTTTCTCTTTTCTTTTCTCATCTTTCCAATATTCTCTTATTTCCTTTTTTCATTCTTTCTGTTTAATTTTAAAATTGTTTGATCTCATTCATATTTTAAATTCTCATTTGTAACTAAATTTTCCTGCATTTTAAATTCATTTAGTTTACAATATTTACAAATATTTTGATATGGTTGGAAACAAATTGCAAGCAAAGGAATTCAATTTTTCGGCCACAAACTCTGATTTTATTAACCCTATATCTTTGCAACACAGTGTCGTATTTTAAAGTTTGAATTCTGTTAGATAAAATAATAGTAGGTTTCGTTAAACAAGTATTTTTGTTAATGTGGAAAACATGTTTATTTTTCCTTAATAAATACTTTGCTAAAATGCCCATCATTGCCCGTGAATTTTGAAAAAAAATAAGAAAAAAAATTCTGAATTTATAAAAAAAATCGATTATTTTAACCTACCCATGGGTTCCCTCAAAAAACAGCCAATTAAGTCCAGCCGCTTGGCCAGCTATAGTTAATATAGCTATATATATATATATTATGTATGTATATATGATGAGCAAAGACTAAAGAGCTTTTTTATATAGATGAAGTTTTCCTCAAATATCTTCCTTGGGTTTTGCTCTAATAAACATTGCCTTTGATATTTGGTTTGAAGTATTAAGATATAATTGAAAGCTGAATTTCTAATTCAATTATCCGTCATTATCCGTTGAATATTTAATAATACTAGGCTTTTAAGGAGCTTCGCACCCATCTTCTATTTCACCTATTAATTGTGGCTTTATCTGTGAGCATCTTCTCTTTGTACAGTATAAAACAAAAACAAAAAAAGTTTGCGGATTTCATAAAAATTTTTCGTGCATTTTCAAAATTTTACAAAAAAAACTTCAAAAATTTAAAAAATTCAAAAAAAAATTAATGTTGATCATTCATAAACCTTCCCTTGGGTCACGTGAGGTCTCACACAAAATTTGAGCCCAATCGGTTCAGCCGTTTCGACGTTTATTGGATACAAAAAATAAACAGACAAACAAACAAACAGACACCCAGTCATGCTAAATTTATATGCAGATAGGCTCTGTTGACAGGATTTCAAGAAAACATGTCCGTGTCGTAAAGGTGCCCACTTACACCTTCGTCTTATCGAGGATAAACAAGATATCCGTATTTTTCATTTAAAAATTGATAGTTTCCTTGTGTGGGCCCTCTTTTAAAATAACTTGCGGATTTTTACACCAAAGATAAAAGATAAATATTTCAGAATTTGACTCTTTTCTTGAGATATAAAAAAAAATAATAAAGTGGACCGTTGTAAATCTGGCAATGAAATTAAATGAGTGGAATTTGAAATGATAAACCTTTAAATTGAGATTTATTCTAGATACTGGACGATGCCTTGGAGATGGCTAAGGTAATTAAACATTTATTTTTTAAATTATGAATTAAAAACAGATAGTTTTTTAACTTTTAAGTTTTACTTTAAAGAACATGTTCGGAAGAACATCTTGCTTGCTTCCAGCATTCCAACCGACGGTATTAAACTACAGTAGTAATTTAAATTATAATAAATACTTAAAGGGTGTGACCGGTGGAAAACTTTTTTCGGATTCATTTGAGACATATGAAACTTTTAAAAGATCTGTAAATCCTGAGTTTGAGCGCAAATTCAACGTTCAAAACTCCTGCTTTGTGGGTGGATAGCCGGTCACTCCCTTTAACTAGGCCAGGTTGATGTATAATAATTGAATAGGCTACACAAAGGTGTGGGTCCATGATGAGGCATTTGGAATAATATTCTCTGTGCACTAATTTCTATGAAAATATATAGGCTACTTTATAAACATATTTACATATTATGCTTATCACGCGAGAATGTCAAAAACTCTCTTTTTCTGGGTTCACTTAAGAAACTTTCATATTGAATTTCCCGCAATTTTTCGATATTTTAAACTGTAGGGATTCGACTGAAAGCAAATTTTTGCACACATTCTTTATTATAAAATCAAGACATCATGATTTTTTGTAATAGGTAAACATTATGGTATGAGTAATTGCAGAATAGTAAAAAATCTTTAAAAATGTTCTAACTAACCTTTTACAGTAGGTGTCGATACGTATAAAATGTGTCCTTTTTTCAATATTTTTTACATTTGAAAATAATTTTTCTCTAGGTTGGACGGTTGAGCTACTCTATTGCTCTGAAGCTTACAGGATACTTAGATAAAGAAACTGAATACATTCCTTGGTATTCAGCTCTTTCAGGTACACCTAGACAATTGAAGGTGTCCACAATTAAATTTTTAAAAATGGCGCGCGCGATGAGCGCGGTAAATTTTTCCATTGCAATGAAGTTTAGGTCGACACCTCTGAAATTCTAGTAGATAATCGTCATCAAAGTGTTTAAAAGTATGGTAAAGTATGGTGAAGAAAGTTTTTTTATAAAAATTTCATGAATTTCTGATTTTACATATTAATTTCTTCATTTTCAATCAGGGAACTCGGACCTGTTGAAAATGTTTAAAAAATATGAAAAATTATGAGTTAGGTCCAAAAAAACGTCTAAAATTTTCGTTGTTTAGAAAAGTACATTTTTAAGCGGTTTTTCAAAATTTTAAAAATATTTCAACTGATTTAACCTTTCTGGACAATTACGAAGAAAATGATATATATCCCGATAAATTTAAGAAAAAGTATTTTGGAGCTATGTAGGTCGTTTTCAAACTTTAGCAGGGATCATATCCTAAAGTTTTAAAGATAATGAGCTAAAATTTTAGAATAGCTCTCACGGTACCACATACATAGACATAGACATAGACATAGACATAGACATAGACATAGACATAGACATAGACATAGACATAGACATAGACATAGACATAGACATAGACATAGACATTTTCAATTATAAATATATTCTAGGTTTGTCCCACATTAATAAGATGCTGAAAAGGACCGCGGCATACGGAGATTTTAAGAGGTATTATTTATTTCCTGAACTTGTTTACGCATTTAATCATGTTTACTGGTACATAGTGTGATGTATCTATTCGAATACTTTTCTTTATAGCATTCATTCATCTTGTTATAAACATTTAGTTTTCTTTATATTATATGTCTTTTAAATATAGAATACGAAAATATGATATTTGTTCAAGTATCTCCTCGATCATAATCAATTTAAACCCACGCTATTTTCCATTTAATGATTAAAAACATTAGCTTGAAGATCTTTATTCGGAAGGAAATAATAGTGAACAAGAACCCATTTTGTCCTGTAAGTGTTCTGTCTACTCCAGGGTTGGATACAGTTCCTTTATATAGTTTAATATAGATATGTGCTGCACCTGCTGGGTCCTGTCTATTCCAGGGTTGGATACAGTTCCTTTATATAGTTCAATATAGATATATGCTGCACCTCCTGGGTCCTGTGTACTCCAGGGTTGGATACAGTTCCTTTATATAGTTTAATATAGATATATGCTGCGCCTCCTGGGTCCTGTCTACTCCAGGGTTGGATACAGTTCCTTTATATAGTTCAATATAGATATATGCTGCGCCTCCTGGGTCCTGTCTATTCCAGGGTTGGATACTCTTCTAAACCTACAGATACGCATCTGGATATTCTTCTTAGGAAAATTGTGGTCAGTTGAAAAAAGAAATTTAATTTGATTTTTTTAAATTAGATTAATTTAAATTTGGCACTTTGCTCTTCTCATTCTAGTTTATTTTGACAATTTCCCGGTTAAATGCTATAGTAATTGCAACTGTTTTCTTCAAGCAACATTTTTTAATCTTATCATAAACTTCGGTGGGGTCATGTGATCAACAATCTGTTTCGCTGTTTTGACTTTTTTGATACAAACAAAAAAAAAGCCAAATATATTTATATATATTGATTGGATAGATATATACTGTTTTATAGTTTTTTTCAAACAAATTTATTCTGAATAATATATCATTTATCTTTGCATTGAATTCTGTGAAAGGAATGGAGAAAATATTTAAATTTCAAGAAAAATATTGCGTTCTTAAAGTTTTAAAAACGACTTGTTTGTCAAAACAATTTTAATGAAAAGCATTTTGTCATGTTTGTTTCTTATTGAGAGAGCTAAAACACTCTCTTTTTACTTGAATTTTTTAATCCCATATCTTTGCAACCTTGTGGTGTAAGTATTTGTTATTCCCAACTTTTAATTGGTTAAAATATCAAAGGCACGCGTCATTAGGCTGTAAAGATATAAGAATTAATAATGATAATAATAATAATAATAATAATAATAATAATAATAATAATAATAATAATAATAATAATAATAATAATAATAATAATAATAATAATATTTTTTTATTTTCCAACATAATTAATGATTTGACAAATTTAACTTAACGATCAAATTTTGAGGTTTTTTTGTATCTACGTAGAGAAATTTATCAATAATACAAATTTTACTTTCATAGGATTTATTGGAAGTTTTCTTTGAATTCAATAAATGGACTTTTTAGATAAATTAATGTACCGGAAAACACCATTCATCATTTCATAATGTTATAATAAATAATTAAATACATTAGATTTAAGTAAATTCAAGGTTAAATTAAAATCTTTTCAATCATAAACCCTCTTGTTGAATATGAATAGTAGATTCGTTCTTACCAAGCTAGGCAACCCCGTCATTCAGGCTCAAATTTCATACACGTACACTGTACACTGTACAGTATATTAAAGTTGGACCAGTACAATGATTACAATTATCAATCTCACTAGAATGGGACGAATTGTATGGTGTACTGTCACGTTTTGCCCTAATCTACATATTAGTACTTTTACAAAAGTTCAAATTGAAGGTCCGGCACGGTACATCAAATGAATCGGCGCGAAGGCTAGGTATCGATATTATATTTAAATCCAAAATTCATAAAAAGGCACAATGAGTTCAATCTAATCGATATTTTCTCAAAAAACTTTTCGAGAATTTCTTCAGATACCTTCTAGGACGTTTTCCAAGGTCAGTTTTCAAAGTATTTACACAGTACACATTGTAGGTAAGCTGGGCGTGTAGCATGGATCACCCTGACTGCTTGAATCAAGCCAAATCAAAGTTTGGAGACTGGATGAAGACTGCTAACCCGGATTCAGAAGGAAGCAATCCGTAAGTGTCAGGAAATAGGAATAAAGGGAAAGGAAATGGCACTGGTATGGCATGAGAAAGCCAGTCCCATTGCTTTGCAGACCAGTACGGTAACCTTACACACACTCTTCTAGTACAGACACACAACATGACTATAGTCAAGGAAATTGTAGAACAATGTCGTCAATTATAAATAAACTTGAATAACGAGTAGTTTATTGTAAACTTTAATCAAATTATATTCTTTGCATGAAAATTTGGCTTTATAGTGTTGACTTAAATATGTAAATAATATATTACATGCATATTAAACATATTTTTAGTTAAACAATTAACAATAAAAAAATGTACTCTCCTAGACTGTACAAATACCGAGATTCTTACGTACTGTATAAACCTACAGTACACACCTTTGGTACGGTAAACTGACACACACTCTTTTGGTACAGACAAACATACATGAGGTTTCCGTCCACTGGTAAGTGTCACCCGGATGCGTACCCAGTAAAGTTTTTAACTCTCTCTATACGTAACTACTTTGGTCTTCTGCCTCAGGGTTATTGTAACGAAATACTTATATATCTTGGAAAGACAACATCTAGTGTCCTTTCTGTTATGTTAATTAATCCATGTCTAACCTATCTCAGTAAATGCAGACACAGAAACCAAAGTTTTTGATTTCTGATCATAAATTTTCCTTAAACAAGAAGTCTAAATTATGAGAAATGCAGACACAGAGAAAAGATCCCAGTACATATATATGTATATATATATATATATTTATATAAATTTTCTAGAATTGATGTAAACCTGAAGTCTGAAACCTACTGTCATGGAATATCCGCTGGAACTGAGAAGGAATGGGACTTTGCTTGGAACAGGTTTATTTTAACTTATGTTAATAAATAAATTTATTTATTATTTAAACTTTAAACTAAAGATACTATTATTATTGTATATTTTATTCCAATTGATAAAAAACATTGCCGAATATAAAGTGTATGTGAACCCGGCTAGATGGTATGCGGGACTGAAATATATTCTCCAACCCCTTCTTTAAGTACAGTTAAGATATTCTTCCTGGGTCTAACTCGCTTCCTCATCATCTACGCATTATTGAACTTGGTTCATACAAATGTTATTTTAAACTTTTCCTTCTGCAGTCTAGTCAACATTGCATTTTGTTAGATATTAATTTTATAGTTTTCAAACCAAATCAAATTTAAACCAGAATATACAAAACACTTTGAAAAACAACATTTTGTCTCTGGATCAATATAATTGGATGTTAGATTTATTCAATTCAGAATAAAATTGTGCAACTATATAAAATAAGAACATATACTTTTATTCTATATTTTAAAAGTATTTTGATAAGTCAATATGAATTAATCTAAAATTCACTGTAATCATACAGTTACATATTTTCAAAAGATACAATTTGTTTTTATTGGATTTCACCAAATAGATTATCAAGTACAAGAATCTATTTGGATTTCACAATTCTAAATAACAATTTTCCAAATTGACTAAAATCTTTAAATATTTGAATTTTTATTATGATTTTATTTAAAGTTTTTTTATTCATTAGATTTTAATAATCTTTTTTATAATTAAAAGTTAGTTTTAAAATACCATTTAGTTTTTATCAAAGAGAATAGAAAATATATTAGAGTGGAATTTTGACAATCCCTCGGTATGAATTTCGTCAGTCCCTTTCAGCCTGAAAGGGAGTTCAAAGTGTACAAATCATGTAAATGTTCACATTTTATATGCAGTAGAGTACATTAATACAGTATGTTCCCTAAACTATCCATTTCAATTTCGAATTTTTAAAGCTGTTAAATAAACTTAATAAAATGAATTAGGTGAATAAAAAACATTATTTGATTTATAGTTATAACGGAAAATTATCGTTTGTAAATTGAAAGGCATAGAGTCTAAGTGAAATGATCATTGGTCAATTATGAAACCAGCCTATTTCAAAATTTGGTTTTCTTTTAATGTTAATTTTAGATTTTCTATAAAATGATATTCCAGGGCGCAAAAGTTTATATGGTACAAATATCTCAAGTACACCTGCAGTATGGAAACAGTACAACAAAATGGCCGTTTTGCACTTTTTTCTAGTAAATTCCAATCTAATATATATTCTTTTCTCTTTGCTTTTTATATACTACGATGTAAAGATAAAATTCAGGGGCGAAAAGTTCAAAACTGTGTTAATACAGCCCAGTCCCGACACTGGTTGTCAGGTTTTGGTCCAATCATGGTTTGCAACTGTCCTCCCCTGAGTTTTATCTTCTGTATAAAATAAATTGTGAAAATCTTCTGTAATGTGTCCAAAAATGAGAATCTTAGCAGTAAACTAAGAATCTATAAAATGAGACTGCAAAGAATAAATAAAATCTGCACAGCAATTTCTAACGTCTAACTTCACCAAGGTTTTATAATAGGGTTGGTTACTCTCGATGCGCTCAAATGTATTGAAAATGTCGTCTCAGAAGATAGATAGATAAAACCTCAAATGACGTCACTCTCGCCCAGGCCCGTAGCTAGGAATTTTACAACAGGGGGGCACAAAAGTAATAATAGGCGAGATAATTAAGTAAAGAGCTCGGTGCAGGCGAAAAATTAGTTTTACTACAGTGAAACCCTTAACTACGAATACATCGAAAGAATTTATCAAATGTCGTCTTGACAATTTTTTAATGAGTTTTATACTTTATTACGTAAATTTCAGTATTTGTGAAATTAAATAAATAGCCATGAATATGCGGGAACAGTTTAAAAGAGTTCCATATAATCATTTAATTAAAAAAACTAAATATCTGCAACATTCCATTATCAGAAAGTGAAGAATACGACATTTGATAAATTCTTTCGATGTATTCGTTATTAAGGGTTTCACTGTAGTAAAACTTAAAAAGGGTCAAAATTAATGAATGAAGACTAAAAAACTAGATTTTTAACTCATCACACATTAAAGTTTTTTAAGACAGATATTTTGCCTGTTTTCTTTCCCTTCAGCATTGCATCAAAACAAGAAAGAAACTGGGGGTAATTAAGATGTAGAGATTTGAGTTATACTATAAATAACTGTACTATATTTTTGAAACACGAATTGCCATGCTATACTTATTTCTAATACAGAGAAAGTAAAGTCTGTAAATGCCTGTAAAGATCAAGAAAGTACCTTCAGTTTTCTCAAAACTAAAATTCGAAAAATACTCCCCTGCAAGCTTGAGGATTAGTACAATCAGCTTCTCCTAAACTTGGCCATATTTTGCATATAACTTAAAAAATTTAAATCCATCATTTAACAAGACAGTGTCCGAATTGAATGAATTTAAGCCACGTCTCAAATCCCCCCAAAATCGGTATTAATTGACCGCCGGATAAAATCTTGAAAAATTTAATACAAATTTAAGTGGAACCAACCATATTTGAGCCGCGGATTAAATTAAACCGCGTCTCAAATTCTTTAAAACGGCTTCAAGGTGGAAATAAAACTTTTTAGATAAATTAATTCAGAAAGCACTAATTTTTTCTTTAATTTGATGAAAAAATAATCCTTTTCATCTAATATTTGTAACAAAATTTTCTCCCCTTATTTCTTCTTTTCTTTCATTTTTCGTTTCCTTCTTTTCATTTTTTCATTTTCTTCTTTTTTGTTTCAGAAAGTGTGCCCCCCATGTGCCCCCCCCCTTCGGGAGTAAAGGGGGGACACATGCCCTCGTTCCCACCTAGCTACCGGCCTGCTCTCACCATTAAATTCAGTGACGTTGTATGAGGTTTTTATTTCTCTATCTTAGAAGACGACATTTTCCGTGCAATGGAGCGCATGGAGAGTAAGAAAAACAAGTTACCAACCTTATTATACAACCTTGAACTTGATTGATCAATCTTATTCAATCAATCAGAATATACATTTTTACATTTAGATATACAAGTTCCATTGTACATTTAGATATACAAGTTCCATTGTACATTTAGATATACAAGTTCCAATTTACATTTAGATATACATTTAGATATACAAGTTCCAATTTACATTTAGATATACAAGTTCCAATTTATATTTAGATATACATTTAGATATACAAGTTCCAATGTACATTTAGATATACAAGTTCCAATGTACATCTCGATATACATGTTCCAATGTACAAGTTCCAATGTACATTTAGATATACAAGTTCCAATGTACATTTAGATATACATGTTCCAATGTACAAGTTCCAATGTACATTTAGATATACATGTTCCAATGTACAAGTTCCAATGTACATTTAGATATACCAGTTCCAATGTACATTTAGATATACAAGTTCCAATGTTGCCTCTGAGAAAGCAACTTTACTCTCGGCTCTGACGTGTACTAAGGAAATATGGCTTCTAAACAGGTTATGTATTGTTTGTACAGATTGTACATGTTAAAGAGATTATAGTGCGTGAAATTCTGTGTCTCAGGATCATCTTCAAGCAAGAAAAAATATGGCATAATGTATTTTAAAAGTCTATACTTAAATGGGGTTTTTTTTTCATTCGTAATTAAAAAGCTAAAAATTTTGCGGATTTTTCTGTTGACAATGATGGATTTCTTAAATTTTAAAAAATCAATTTAAAAAAAAAATAATTTCAACTGTCTTTAAATCACTAACAAGCCAAATTTATAAAAAAAATAAATGAAGGTTTTTGAATAATTTCATTAAAATCCAACAAAAAACCTTGAACAAAACAACCAGTTGCAGTTGGCCCCGCAAATTTGTTCAGATTTGCAAATGCAAAATGGAAATTCTATCATATTTATAAAGTTTTTATATTGACATGAATCAAGAAGCAAGAAAGTTATTACTTAAAGGGCAAACGTTACCAACTTTAGAAGCCAAACGATTACAGCGACTTTGGGGCTTTACTAACTTTTAAGTTTTCCCAAAAATCGTTATCAACCCCTCCGCCTAAAAGTCGCTGTAATCGTTTGACATCTCAATTTTTAAGTGTCTCGATTTTAGGGAAAACTTAAAAGTCTATTGAATTCAAATCAATCGTAATCAATCTGATTATTTATAAAAACTACAATTCCCAATAATTTACAGATTTCTCGACTTAACGATTCCTTTAATTTAAAGGTTTTTCAGCATAATTATACGGCTCTTTAAACTACAGGTTTCTCAACAAAACATCCCTTTAAATTACAGGTTTTTGAACTTAACAATCCCTTTTTAATTATAGATTTCTCAACATGTCTCTGACCCCTGACAGCGGGGTAAGAAAACAGGATGGAGCGAAAGTCATAGGAAATCATTTTAACTGAAATTAATTTTCCATTTTTATTTAATAATTTAAAAATCAGCTGATAAACTGTTTTCAAACACTTTTTTAATTGAATAGATCTTTTTTTTTGAAAGGGAATTGGTCTTGATCCAGTTGATTAAAATGGGTCGGTTTAACTGTCAAGGCTTTTTTCAAACTGCTGTTTAAAATGGTTTGGTTATGAAATTTTTCCAGAATTGACTGTTTTTTTCAAACTATGATTTGTTCTTAAATCAGCTGTTTAAAATGGCTTGGTCTAAAATCTGCTGATTTTAAACTGATTTGGTCTTGAATTAATTGTTTAAAATAGTTTGATCTTCAACCAGCTCTTTTAAAATTGATTTGGTCTTAAATCAGCTGTTTCAAATAGTTTAGTCTTAAAACAGCTGTTTTTACACTGATTTAGCATTAAATTAACTGTTTAAAATTGTTTAGTTTGGTCTTAAATCAGCCGTTTAAAATGGTTTGGTCTCTAATCATCTGTCTTTAAACTGGTTTGGTCTTGAATTAACTGTTCAAAATGGTTTGGTTTGGTCTTGAATCAGCTGTTTAAAATGGTTTGGTTTGGACTAGGTGGAATAGCATCAAACACTGTAGGACGCTACCTCACATTCGACTTTATTCGTGAGCAGTGGAAAACAATCCAAGAATAGTAAGTTTTCATTCATTTGGGAAAATTAAAAATTTGGGGCAATTATGAAAATAGAAGAATTTTATTTTTATTTTTAAATCTCATTTCTTTGGTTTTCCTCTCACAATTTTTTCTTTTAATTGTAAGAAGAGTTTATTAAAACAATTAAATGTTCAATTGATTAATTAATATTATAATTTTTATGCATGAAATTAGAATTGCAAAGGAATACTTAATCATTCATAATGTAATGTGACTATATAGATATTAACATATTATTAACATATTTTATATACAGGGATACCCACAAAATATGAGACTTCAGAGACAATTGTGCAGAATTCGTTTAGTCTGTTTTCTTACATCCAATCCAGGGGTCGTTGTAGGCCAATAATTGGCTTACTTCTGTGCTTAATCATTTAGTCAACCATCAAAATACTTAATTGAATTTGAGATCAAAAATAAAGCTTCAAATTGTCAAATAACTATAGTTTTGGGTCGTCTTTACGGTCTCATCCTTTATGGGTAACCCTGTACATTCTTATAATTTCAAATATCGAAATTTTAAGGTCACTTACAAAGCTAGGTTTGTTTAAATCAAATGTCAGTTGGCGGTATCATCAAATTTTACTTGATTAATCATTTTTTATAAAAGATATTTTATTTAATATTTTACTGTATTTACTGTATTTTTGGTTTCACCTTTATGATTTTATATATTCTTTTCATTTTAATATATCTATTGTTATATTTGAAAGGATACCCACAAATTGTTTGGACGGTGAAAGTAACCATATTAGATTTGGTCTTGGAATACAAATAGCAGAATAAAATAATACAACATGTTGCTTGGTATTAAAGGTTTAGTTGTGCATAGGATTTCCAAATATAGGTGTTGGTTTTGTTGGGGTTTTCTAGGTGTTTCTAGGATTGCAAGATGTGTTATTTAGTTAGGGTTTATTTGGTGTATTTTATAGTTGGGGATTACTAGGTATAGTTTATAGTTTAGGGTTTCTAGGTGTATTATATATTTAGTGATTACTAGGTATATTCTATAGTTTAGGGTTTCTAGGTGTATTTTATAGTTGGGATTACTAGGTATATTTTATAGTTTAGGGTTTGCTAGGTGTATTTTATAGTTGGGGATTACTAGGTATATTTGATAGTTAAGGGTTTGCCAGGTGTATTTTATAGTTGGGGATTACTAGGTGTATTTGATAGTTTAGGGTTTGCTAGCTGTATTTTATAGTTTAGGGTTTGCTAGCTGAATTTTATAGTTTAGGGTTTGATAGGTGTATTATTTAGTTGGGGATTACTTGGTATATTTGATAGTTTAGGGTTTGCTAGCTGTATTTTATAGTTTAGGGTTTGCTAGGTGTATTATTTAGTTGGGGATTACAAGGTATATTTGATGGTTTAAAGTTTGCTTGGTGTATTATTTAGTAGGGGATTACTAGGTATATTTTATAGTTTAGGGTTTGCTAGGTGTATTTTATAGTTGGGGATTACTAGGTATATTTTATAGTTTAGGGTTTGCTAGGTGTATTATTTAGTTGGGGATCAGCGAGCTTCACAATGCCTGGAATAATGCAAAGAGCTTTGTCAGGGCGGAATACAGAGTTTGAACTGGAGGAGGCAAGTTTCATCTTGTGAAACAAATTAAACCCTGCACGGACCAACCCTGTTCTATCCTTGCATGCAACCTATACACATAATTTAGGAGATACTGTACAGTTTATAATTGCACTAATACTGTATACTGAACAGCATTAAACACTGCTCAGCAATGTGCATTGAACACTTTAACTGTTCACTTTGCACTGTACACTGTACAATTTGCACTGTACCCTCTACACTGTGCACTGTAAACTGTACACTGTACACTGTACACTGTACACTGTACACTGTACACTGTACACTGTACACTGTACACTGTACACTGTACACTGTACACTGTACACTGTACACTGTACACTGTACACTGTACACTGTACTCTGTACCACTAATCTTCACCCCTTTACAGTTTTTCAGGGTTTTCCTCGTTTTCTCGAGTTTATGCCAGGCTCGCTAACAGTTTTACAACAGAATTTGAATTAAGCGAGGTAGAATTTTTCTATATAAAAATTGATTGGTAAATCAAATACAATGATTATTTTACTATCTACGCTTTAGAATGTAAAAATTAATTTACAAATTTTCAAATTCTATTTATCCTTTTTGACATAAACATTGAATTAAAATAAAAGTATAAAGACCTGATCTTATCATTGTTTGTCCTTCAGTCAAAATACAAATTGCACAAACAATTCTTTTATTTCACTTTATTTTAAAAGAAACTGAGTTCTTTCCACAAACTATTGCCTACATCTTTGCAACCTGATGGAAAACTTTAATATTTTTAAATTAAGACTAAATATTTGATCCAACAGAATTCAAAGTTTGCAATATCAAAGATCATTGGTTTGCAAAGATATAAGGATTATAAACATTTGAAAACTATTTGAAGAAAATCTATTTGAAGAAAATCTATTTGAAAAAAGTTTTCTTTCAAACATAACGTCGGGGTTTCTGATAACAATGAACATATAACTCGATTATATTAAAATATCAAGAATTCTACAAAATGTAGAAAAACGTGCATTTCTGATATAATTTTTTAATATATATTAACAATATTTTATAAGTAATTAGCAGATGTAAATATTTTGATATTTCTACATTTCTTGTTTTCAATTTTCTTCTTGTTGGTACATCTTCTATCATGTTCGGCTAATTTGGAAAAAACGGTTTTTTTTATGGGACATCCTGAGCTAAAAACTTTAGAATGGTGGATATTGAGATTAATGCGTGATCCTCTCTTTTTCTTAATCTCTAGACTAATCTAATCTTGTACTTGTATCCAGAAAAGTGTATAAAATTCAACCAATCAGAGTCGCGTATAAGAAGCCGGTAAATTTGAAATTTTGCGCGCCATTTAAGATTATATACAGAAACGGGAAGCTCTCTCTAAATTTAAAAAACAGGTTTTTGATTTTTCTTTACTATATACAAGATATCTCATTCTAAAGTTTTCAGCTCTGGTCTGATATAAATATTATACTGAATTAACTTCCATAAAAAAAATCTTTAATACTTATTTTCTCAATTTGCCAAAAAATAAAAGAGAGAGCCTGTTTTGCGCCGTCTACGTGTAACTTCTTTGGGCTTCTGCCTCAGAATTATTGTGAACGAAACACACATAAATCTTGAAAAGACGACATCTTGTGTCCTATCTTTTTTTTTAATTAATCTATGGACACAACGGTAAATTGGGCATTGTTATCTTTGCATGGAGGATCGCTTGAAATCACGCTTACAGTCCCTTTATGTTTTAAACTAATCTCCTTGTATTTTAATGACTCTATCATTCGGTAACATTTTACACAGCGCACAAGGTTCGCACATCTGATAGTTTTTTTTTTGTGGTTTTTTTTTACTTTTTCAAGAGTTTTGATCATTCAATAAACAGAAGAATTCCAAAAGATGCAACCAATTCTTGAAAATGAATACTGTGTGTGAATACTGTCATTATTATTTTTATCATATAAAACAAACACATAAAAAAATACAATTGGAAAAAAATTATAAAACAATTATTATTTGAATTAAAGTAGATAATAGATTACACAAAAGCTTCATAATTTTCTAAATTGTTAATTCTAAACTTTTTGCTATATTTGATATATTTCAAAATTATAACTTGGAAAGAAAATATAGGCTAAAAACAAACTAAAAACCTTTCGTTAATTTTCCCACTATTTTTGTAAAAAAAACATTTTGCATACTAGACGATTGTATTAATATAATGAAGACGACTTTCGATTTCAATGTTGATTTATATCAAGCTTTTAAACAGCAAGTTATTGCTCATCACTAATCATAATTCATAATTTAAAATTTGAGCTCAGCTTGTTGTTTAGTTGAATGAGTGTAAGACAAGCATGTAAACGAGTTTGTTGTTTAGTTGAATGTGTTTAAGACGAAGCATATAAACGAGCATGTTGTTTAGTTGAATGAGTTTAAGAAAAAGCATATAAACGATCTTGTTGTTTAGTTGAATGAGTTTAAGAAAAAGCATATAAACGATCTTGCTGTTAGTTGAATGAGTTTAAGACAAAGAATATAAACGATCTTGTTGTTTAGTTGAATGTGCTTAAGACAAAGTATATAAACGTGCTTGTTGTTTAGTTGAATGTGCTTAAGACAAAGCATAAAAACGAGTTTGTTGTTTAGTTGAATGAGTTTAAGACAAAGCATATAAGCGATCTTGTTGTTTAGTTGAAATAGTTTAAGACAAAGCATATAAACAAGTTTAATGATTAGTTGAATGTGTTTACGACAAAGCATATAAACGAGCTTGTTGTTTAGTTGAATGAGTTTAAGACAAAGCATATAAACGATCTTGTTGTTTAGTTGAATGAGTTTAAGACAAAGCATATAAACGAGCTTGTTGTTTAGTTGAATGAGTTTAAGACTGAGCATATAAACTAGCTTGTTGTTTAGTTGAAATAGTTTAAGACAAAGCATATAAACAAGTTTAATGTTTAGTTGAATGTGTTTAAGACAAAGCATATAAACGAGCTTGTTGTTTAGTTGAATGAGTTTAAACAAAGCATATAAACTAGCTTGTTGTTTAGTTAAATTAGTTTAAGACAAATCATATAAACGAGTTTGTTGTTTAGTTGAATTAGTTTAAGACAAATCATATAAACGAGTTTGTTGTTTAGTTGAATGTGCTTAAGACAAAGCATATAAACGAGCTTGTTGTTTAGTTGAATGTGTTTAAGACAAAGCATATAAACGATCTTTTTGTTTAGTTGAATGTGTTTAAGACGAAGCATATAAACTAGCTTGTTTGTTAGTTGAATGTGTTTAAGACAAAGCATATAAACTAGCTTGTTGTTTAGTTCAATGTGTTTAAGACAAAGCATATAAACGATCTTTTTGTTTAGTTGAATGTGTTTAAGACCAAGCATATAAACGAGCTTGTTGTTTAGTTGAATGTGTTTAAGACAAAGCATATAAACTAGCTTGTTTAGTTGAATGAGTTTAAGACAAAGCAAATAAACAAGCTTGATGTTTAGTTGAATGAGTTTAAGACTGAGCATATAAACTAGCTTGTTGTTTAGTTGAATGAGTTTAAGACGAAGAATATAAACGAGCTTGTTGTTTAGTTGAATGAGTTTAAGACAAAGCATATAAACTAGCTTGTTGTTTAGTTGAATGAGTTTAAGACGAAGAATATAAACTAGCTTGTTGTTTAGTTGAATTAGTTTAAGACAAATCATGTAAATTAGTTTGTTGTTTAGATGAATGAGTTTAAAACAAAGCATATAAACGATCTTGTTGTTTAGTTGAATGAGTTTAAGAAAAAGCATTTAAACGAGCTTTTTGTTTAGTTGAATGAGTTTAAGACAAAGCATATAAACAAGCTTGTTGTTTAGTTGAATGAGTTTAAGACAAAGCATATAAACGAGCTGGCGACCTCTAGGCGGGCAGTTGACCAGGCTATAGAAGCGGCGCAGGTCAACATTGCCTGGATACAAAACAATTTACAGGTACAATCTAGGCACTACAAACTTATACATATGTACAGGGTCAAAGAAGCATCCTTATACAGAGCGTCGCATATCATATAAGATTATCTCCAAGCTTATTACCCCAAAATACGGACAAAATACTAGAAAAACCTAGTATTTTCTGCATGCAAAATTTTATATTTTTTAAAAATGATTCGTTATTTTTAGATTTTCTGATTTGTCCCGGAAATTACAATTTAAACCCAATCATGTGATGTGGGACAATCGGGACACCCTGTATGTCAAGAATTATATGTAGTCAATCCTTATTAAAGTGCTAATCCTGTGAGGGTAACCTTGTAACGTGGTTTGGGCTCCCTGCAAAATTCTAGAAGTCAATCAGCTAAATATTACAAGAACTTAGTGATCTTTCATTGTAAAGAGAAAAGAAGGCGACAATCATCTCACTATTTTCTGATTACTACTGTAACTATATATTTATAAAGTAGTAATCTCTGATTGTTTGTCCAATCATAACTCTTGAACCCCTTGACTGATTTGCTTGAATATCGAGGAACTTGGTAGAACTACGGGATTGGTCTCAACTTTTACAGGGAAAAAACGAAATTTACGAACAAGTGCGGGTAAACGGCGGGAGTAACTATAAATAACCTGGGCAATGCTGGGTTCCCGAGCTAGTATAGAATACTTCAATAAATGAATGAATAGCATTTAATATACTATATTGTAGGTTGTGTGGGACTGGTTGAAGAATTACAATATTAGTGGATAAAAGTCCAATTTCCTACAATAATACTTCCAATTTAATCCAATTCCTGAGAAAATCTTCACACTATCAGACTTAAAGGGAGTGTTCGCGAAAACTCGGTAAATTTGTATGGAAGCTTAGATCTTTGGTGTAAGACGCTTTTAACCATTTTCTCGTTATGGACGCAGCTGCACATAAAAGAAAAGTTAGTAGCAATCGATTTAGAATTTAATCTGACATAAACCTATATAAACCTATATAAACCTATATAAACCTATATAAACCTATATAAACCTATATAAACCTATATAAACCTATATAAACCTATATAAACCTTTATAAACCTATACCCATTTCATTGTTCGCGAAGACTCCCTTGAAGTATTGTACACAAAGTAATGTACATATGTACAGATATGGGTCCATGTATATATTAAAATGGAAGCCAAGATGTACAAAATCGTTTTAGATTTTATTTTCAAGAAATTATTATCCTAAAGCAATATTTTAAATATTATACATGTTTTGTTCATAAGTTAAAGGCATTAGGTGCGGTTTATTTAAATACAAACATATTTTTAATGCAAATAAATCGATATACTCTTGTTTCTCCCATTTTTTTCTGCAGATTAATACAACTTTGATTGAAGTTGATGTATTTGTTGAATCTGTTTGTTTTTAATCTTATTGATTTGGTTTAAATCTATCTAATATTTAAATCTAATATTTGTAAATATCGATTATTATATATAAATATAGCCAAACAAATCTGTTGTTAATGATAAAAATATTCTATTAATAAACTTCTTTTTTTATATTTTTTAGATCAGACGTTGAAGAATTTATTACAATTGTCATTGCAATTCAAGTGATCTTTAAAAAGGAACAATGGTACCGCTATAGCCTGATCAACAGTTTGGAAGATCTTGGCTTGATCATGGCGTTACTTCTTAACATTTCTTCATTGTTTAACTGCAGCAGAAATGTGCAAGTCTCTTTTAACGAGAAACCATGAATTGAAAATAATTAGTTTTCAAAAGTATAAACATAAATATCTAATTCATGCTTGATCAGACAAAGCTTTTTAGGGTACTGTCGTGAATGTGACATGCAATTCTTAAAGGGAGTGTTCGCGAAAAATGAAAGGGGGTAAAGGCTTATGGCAAAAAATAAGCGCTTTTGATCGCTACAAATCTTATTTTTATCGGTTGTGTCTACAAATACAAATTCAGAAAGTTACAACATTCAACTCGGATCGTAAAAGAATCAATTTAATTCCAAAAAAAACATTCAGATATTAGAACTTAATTAGTCATCGATTATTTTTTGACGCATTCATTTATTTAATATTTCATAATATTTGTTATTTGATTTATATACAATGCACAATTAAAACGACTTTTTTCGCTTGGTGGCTTTGCCACGTGTAATCATTAAAAGCATCGAGAGCAGAGACATCTGGCGGCCAACTATTTGGCGTTTTAACAAAACGAATAAAAATATTATGAAATATTAACTATATACGAGTGCGTCCAAAAGTAATCGATGACCCTAGGTTGCAATATCTGAATGATTTGTTTAAAATAAATTGATTTTTTTTACGATCCGATTCTCCCTTTAAATAAACCGGGAGACTTGAAATAACGTCTAAAGTACCTTTAATGATGTCATTTCTGACAGTTTCCAACTTTAAAGGTTTTGATGAATATTTCATAAACATTTTTGCTTGAAAATACCAAAATTGTTTTAGGATATTGATCATCAGCTAGATGACATGAATCTGAAAATTATATACGAAATTTGGATTATGCATTATACAATCCGAGTAGGACTATCATACCATAGTGCATCAAGGACATCATCTCCTTGATCCTTCTGCAGACCCGCGTCTTCCAAACCAGTGACGAAACCATAGCCATCACATTTTAAACCATTCGTTTTCAGGATTTTCACTTTTTATGTAAATGTTGATAAATTCGCAATAAAATATACGTAAAATGGATATTCTAGAGTTGGTTAAGAAGAATTAAACGATTTTAAATAAAAAATTTTAATCCTGTTGTAAATTGGTTTCCTTGTTTATGCAAATCCAATAAATAACCTAATTATTATTAAAAATATTAAAAACAACTTAACATTTAAAATAAATATAAAATAAAAACCAAAAATAAAAAAGGTTTAAACAAAAATTTAAAATGGATTTTTTCTTTTTAAAAACTTTTTGAGGGTCGATCAGCCGCCTTTTTATGGGTGGTGTACAGGGGCAAAGGCTCCGTACTTTAATCAACAGTTGATAATTTTCAAACCTTAAAAAAAGCATGAGTCCGGTCACAGACTATAACACAAACTGCTTATCCCCTTTCACAGGGTGGGCTACGTAACTCGGCACGACATGCTACGTTTTTACGATAGGTTTTTAGAGTGCCATCTCACGGCTACTTGTTGAACATCCTGAATACAGATGTTTGCTGATTGGTCGTGTACAGTACTTGTACACAATAGAACATGCTGTGGAAAATATCGCTTATTTTAGCTGATAATCGATCTCTGTAACTCTTTTATCTCTGGGTCCGGTGCTCCTTGGACACCGGACCCAAGTCGGGGTGCTAAATTTTACATCCTTGTTTTTACATCGTTTTTTAAAATTAAGAATAAAAATATATTTACATTCATTTCAGGGTTGTTAATTTAATCTTCCTAGTTTTACGCTCCATTTTCCATTTTATTTGAAAAAAAACTATTATCCATTTGATGTTTCACTTAAAATTTAACTTGGTGTTCAGTATTCTAATATGTATAAATATATTGTTCAAACTTTTTTCCTGGTATCTCGGCTGGTAATATTAGGTTTCTTTATCTAGCTACGATTCACTTCTTTCTCTTTTAACGTATAATTGTGTCTTTTACTAACTGAGTCAAAAACTGTTGAACCTGTAAAAACTTCTTTTTCCCCTTGTTGCCTTTAGGGATTTTATTTTTACACATATCAATCAGCTGATTTTCTTTTATAAGCATTTCAACTATTGTATTTTGATTTATATAGTTCTTCATATAATGTTGTTTGTGTTCGGTTTGTTCTAAAGTATCCTAACCCTGCCATTTTCTTATATTTTATATTGACATTGGATTTATATGGAATTATGTCGTACTTGGAATTGAATTCCTGTCCCTGAGGATGATAGTTTTCCAAAAAAAACTCATAAATTCTTGTTCTATCAAAAATAAAATATAAATCTTATCTAACGTTATCTGAACCTTTTTAATTGGGTGGTTCATCGAGCTTTATATTTCTCTACAATTTAGTTCATTCACCGTTTTTTTTTTTGAAATTTTTTTGTACAGGGTGTCCCAAAAAAACATGGGAATTCAGTGACGAATTCGATATCGTCTTTGTTATGAATCAGCATTGTAATACCTAATATTATTATGTCTTGCTAGAGTTTATTTTATGAAAACTGTAAATGGCTGTAAAGATGTGTCTATAATGTCTCCGCAAGATGAACAGTGAAGACGGACAAGTTTACTCCGTTTGTATACTTTTATGCAGTCAAAACATAAACAAACAGAATGTGAAAATAGCAGACGAAACTCTCACAAATTACAGATTTCTCAGTAGATATTACTAAATCAAAGAATTATTTAAAAAGACGCTATTGAATTTGTCGCTGAATTCCCATGTTTATTGGGACACCCTGTATTTTTCGGCATTTATCTGCTTATTTCGTTCCATTTAAATCACTCTTTTTAACGATTTCTGATATTGTTTGAAGCATCTTGCAAAAAATCCAAAACATTGTTAATATCCTTGTCTCCCCAAAATGTTGTTTATTGTTTATGTTTATGTGCTTATCTAATAAATCCTCCTTATCCATGCAAACATATCCGATTTTTTTGATCCTGCTACTACAGGGTGTCCCAAAAAACATGGGAATTCAGTGACGAATTCGATATCGTCTTTTTAAATAATTCCTTGATTTAGTATAGTGATACCAACTGAGATAGCTGTAATCTGTAAGAATCTGGTATGCTATGTTCACATTTTGTTTGTTTATGTACGTTTTGACTGCATACGGTTGTACTTGGTAAAACAAGAAAATTGCAGTGTACAAACAGAGTAAACTTGTCCGTCTTCAGTGTTCATCTTGCAGAGACATTATAGACACATCTTTACAGTCTTTTACCCTTTTCATAAAATAAACTCTAGCAGACATAATAATACTATGGCTTTTGAAATTAGGTATTACAATGCCAATTCATAGCAAAGACGATATACATTTCGTCACTGAATTCCCATTTTTTTTTGGGACACTCTGTATAATTAGGTTCTCATTCAGTTGGAAAATTCCTTCAATTTCTTTTTCTGTTTTGAGTTTTTTTAATATTGTTTATTCAACAAAGATTTTTTAAATTTTATTCTTTCAACCCTATAATTACTCATTATAGCAAACAAATCCTTCATGATTTTATGAATAGTCTGCTTAGAAACCATCAAAACCTTAAATAAATGAAAATTGTGAAACTCACGATTTATTTTTATTAAATACAAATATACTTACAATAACGTATATCACAAGATGGAATCAAAATAAATTTGAATAATGACCCCCCCCCCTTAACACAACCCCATTCAAAATCCACCAAAAATATTTTTGTTATAATCGCACAAATTTTAATCCAACTAACTTTACATTTCATATTCTATGTTTCTTTCGCCAACATAATAGAAGTTCTAATTTGATTTCAAGTTTTTAAACCTCGGAATCAAAAAGGAGGAACTAAAGGAATGTCCATATTATAAAGATCAAGAAAATCAACTAGTAAATAATTTTCGCTGTTTCATGTTCACCACAATAGAGGGAAACACAATTAGAGAGAGATAACAATTATAGAAATTTTGTTCGAACAAAAGAAAGTTCAAAGCAGATATCCCCCCCAACAAACAAAAAAAAAGATTTATTTTCTAAAATGAATGAAAAATAAAAAAACTTTAGATTTTTTCTGCTTTTCAGAGACAAGAAAATATCAATGAGAAGTACGTATATAGTCCTTTCAAACATCGAATAAAAACCACAATAAAAAAGTTTCAATAAACCGGTCCAAAATATAAATGCGGACAAAGTGAGCTCTCTCTGAAAACTGGTTTGGAAAAAACTTAACAAAATGAAAACTAAAAATCCGTTACATTTTCAACATTATCATGAAGGTGCAGGAGATGTAAACGCCACAAATGCCCACAGTTTCATAATATTTTGATCACATTATCTTAATTCACTGCTAACAGCGGGCAGGTTGTTGACGGCTGTAGGCACTGATGTGGCTCATCATGTTGTTGTTGTTTAGGTTCTCTGACCTTTAACGACTACTGGACGGGACTTGATAATACCACGCTTACGCTTGTTATTCTGAAATAGATAATTCAAAATTAAAAAAAAAGAAAATAACAAAATAAAGAGATATTGAAAAATTGTATGTTTACTTAAAATTTAAGATTTTTGTTGATAAAATCTGTCCACGGGGTTCAAAATGTTTCCAATTATAAATAATTGATGCAATTTTGCCCTGATGCAAAATAGGGAAATTTAACTTAGTACGGTAAGCCAGCTTGTACAGCAAAACTTCTTCTAAGAAAAAAGACTTCAAGTGAATTTCCGAATTTTTTTTCAGAAGTTATTTATTGATAATTCGTTTAACAAAGAAACCTGAAAATGAACAAAACCAATAAAAAAAATCCACCAAAACTTGTTTTTAAAAGTTCGAATTATATGTTTGAATTATAATTAACTAATTGTTGTGTTGCGAGAACAAAAAAAGTTCAGAGACGTACAGTTCCAAATAACAGTTTTTGTTTGAAAAAAACCGCATTATTTTCTGAGCTCTTAAGCATTAAAAAGCTATAAACATACACTCTCTGATTCCTTCCATCTTCTGATATTAGTATTTTAACATAGAAAAAAACAGTGCTTTGGATCTATTTGATTTTAATACAAATCCGGATCCTGGATCCGTACTGAAAAAGAATCCAAATCCTAATCCGGATCCAGGTCATGAACATTTCTTTAAGATTTACTGATTTTTTTTTTTTAAATAGAGAATTTTTAAATTTTCCTCCCTTTTCCTCCTATTTTTACTAGATGAACCTTAGATGAGGATTTGTTTTTTGATAATCTCTCTTTTGTCAACATTTTAGAATTGGGGTTTAAAAGCAACAGAGGTTTTTTTGCAGTTTTTTGTTGATATTTTGCCCCCTGGATTTGGACCCTAAGCACTGGTTATCTGTGCCTTTTTTTTACATCAAAAACTCTTAATATCTTTGTCCATCCTTTAACTTTTTATATTTTTTCCTTTCTGTACAGTGTACACTATGTAGATTGCTGCAAATGGTAAACTGTCTACAGCATCAAGTTTAAGTATAGGCTTTATTCCCAAAAGGGGTTAACACAAAACTTTCAATAAGTAGGAAAAACAAGATTTTTTTTTAAATTTAAGGGAAATTATCACACCTAATATTTCCCGTTGTAGGGTGATTATCGATTAAGCAACTAAAATTTAAAATTTCATACCTAATATTTTCCATTGTAGGGTGATAAAGTTACTTTTGTAGGGTGATAAAGTTACTTTATCACCCTACAACAAGGATCCGGATTCGGGGAGCTTAAAAACTAATACCCAGGAGGAATAATACAAAATAAATTACCTTTTTTGAGACAAAATTCTTTTTCCTTGAAATCTCTCTATCATCAGGCGATATTCTGGGTCTATTAAACTCATCTGGTTTCTTCACCCTAAAACAATAATTTTTATTTAAATAAACATATTTTTGAGAAACGTTATCGAACACAGATTATGGAAAATTTACGGAAATTTTCGGGAAAGAGGAAAAAAAAGAACAATTATATACAGGGTTACCCACAAAGAATGGGACTGTAAAGACGACCTGAAACTCTTTAAATATGATGATTCCAAGATTCAATTTGATCTTCTGCCTTGAATAGTCTTTTAACGGCTAATTAAAAGATTTAGCAAAGAAAGTTCAAGTTAAGAATGATGAATAAATAAAAAGAAACAGAGGCAGGCTTTAAAGAATTTGAGCCGCGGCTCAAATATGGTTGGTTCCACTTAAAACTGTATTTAATGTTTCAAGCTTTAAGCCGGCGCTCAATTGAAACCGGTTTTGAGAGGATTTGAGACGCGACTAAATTTCATTAGATTCGGACTCAGAAAGTAAAAATGCCTTGAAGTCGTCTCTGAGCCTATTACTTAATAAACGAACAAATTTATTTGATCGCGACCCATGAAAGTTTTATCTGATGTTCCTGTCTCGAGAAATTGATATAAAACTGTGTTATAATTATACGAAAATTCATATATGTAAAACTTTGAAAATCTGAAACTTAAATCACGTGACCAGAACTATCACCAATGGCAGAACAGTATACTGGTCACGTGTCTCCGCCTGTATCACGTGACCACTTTACTGCACTGCCATTGGTGGAATTTCTGGTCAAGTAATACGGACGTAAAAATAATATTATGAATGAAATCTATTGAAAACAGAAACAACAAATATAAAAGTAAACCTAAATAACAATTAGCTTTCTCTGGGATATCATCTTTTTCAGATTGGTTGCTGTTTTTCTGAGCATGGTCTGTTTAAGCCAACTATTTCTATACGAAATTGTATATATATGCATTTTCGTACAAGTTTGAAACAGCTTTATATCAACTCTCGAGTTAGGAACTTCAGATAGGCGTCTCAAGGGTCTCGATGAAAAGCTAAAGTGATTAGCTTTTAGCCTATACCCCCTTTAATTTTTCCTTTACTGTCCCTTTAAGTTTTATCAAGGGAAGCGACAGTCACTAGTCACAACGCCTTTCACTAGATGATAAGGTGCAACTTAAAGAGAGTGTGCGTGAAAATAAAAGGTATATTTCGCTAAACTTCTCTAATCTAGGCATAACACTTTTTAGACAATTATTAGACAGAGGCAAAAGATACCGATCAATTCAAGATTTAATCCGGATTCAGCCCAACACACCTTTTTTTAATTTTTCGCGATCACTCCCTTCAATGGCATGTTCATAAGGAACGGACGGAGAGAGAGATGCTAATCCCTTTAAGTGAGATCTTTAAGGGAGTGTTCGCGAAAAATTAGGGTACAGGCTTACGGCGAAAAATAAGCGCTTTGAATGGCTACCAATCTTACTTCTATCTGTTGGGTCTATAAGGAGAAAATTGTTAAAAACAACTCATACCGAAGAACGTAGCTTCCATATAGTCAGAAAGTTGCAACATTCAGCTCGGATCGTTAAAAACTATTAATTGCCATATCTGAATGATTTTTTTTTGGAATTAAATTGATTATTTTACGATCCGAGTTGAATATTGCATCTTATTGAATTTGTATGGACGCTACGTTCTTTAGCATAAGCCGTTTGTAACAATTTTCTCCTTAAAGACGCAACAGATAGAAGTAAGATTAGTAGCGATTAAAAGCGATTATTTTTCACGAACACTCCCTTTAAATATTTGATTTCCAAGTCCTCCTTTCAACTCAAGTATACTCCAAAAACAAAATTTTGTATTTGATTTCTAAGTCCTTTTTTCAACTCAAGTTTATTCCAAAAACAAAATTTAATAAATATTTGGAAAATGTTGTCAATGTATTGTTGTATAATTGTATGTTTCATTTTAATTCCGATTCAAATAAGTTCTAATTCAGTTTTGAATAAACATCTTATTTTTATTTTCACGTGTGTGTCGCATCTAGGATTAAAAATTTATTTCCGCTTAAATGCAAAAAAGTGCAATTCATTTATAAGCTTCAAAACTGTTAAAATTATATATTTCGGAAAATTTTAAAAAATTTTTCTAAGTTAAGAATTTAAATTATAATCATACATTTCTTTTTACATCAAACATAAATTATCTTAATGAACAAGTCTCATTTTAACCTTTCTTCCAAACTAACTATGAAGTTTGAAGAACGATCCAAATAAATTTAGAATTCAAATTAGAATCCTAGAAAAACCGGATTCGGATTTTAAAAAAGCACAAATCAAACTACATACACAGTTAAAATCTTGATGACAAATTTAAGATCGCTCGATGCTTCCTAAAGTTTAAACTGCAGGTTTACCCACTAAGGCTAAGACTTCAGAGAATTGTTTTTTGCCAAAAAACTGAGTAAGTCATGAAAAGATTTTATCCAATGCATAGGACTTAATTCAACCTCGGAATTGTCCAATTTAAAGAGTTTCAGGTCGTCAAGTGCCAGTCTCATCATTTGTGGGTAACCCTGTATTTTGCCCCAACGATTTAGAACTATTTCCCTAGACACGGACAGGACCCGGACAGGGGCGGACACAGGATTTAAGTGAGGGGTTGTGTCCGCCCCTGGACCCGGATCCTTAAAGGGACAGACCGGTTATGTAAGGTAGTTGAAATGAGTATGCAGTGTTGTGGAAAACCTCTTTCGGATTCATTTGAGACATATTAAACTTTTTAAAGATCTGTAAATCCTGAGTTTGAGCAAATTCGACGTTCAAAAACTCCTATTTTGGGGGTGGATACGTTTTCAGAATTAGTTTTTTTTAATTATTAAATAACGACAACGAAAAATTATACAGTAATCTAATTGGATGGTTAGGAACATATTTCTCAAAAGAAATTTGTCTTTAAATCAATGCTAATATCGATTATATTGTTTGCATTATTATATTGAATTTCTTATTTTCTTTGAATTTATTCGCAGATTTCTTCAAATTCTTCAAATGTCGTCTTTAAAATAATAATTATAGAAAATCTGCGAAAATCTTTGTGAATAATGAGAAATCAGAATAGTGAGATAATAGAAACTAATAATAAAACAAGATTACTTATTTTCGATGATAAGATTAGCGTTTATTTTCTCATCGTGTTCCTAATCATGACGTCTGTAGCTTATTTAAGAACTTTTTTACATTCTATGTCGTCGTTATTTAACAATTTTAAAAAACTAATTCTGAAAACGTATCCACCCCCAAAGTAGGAGTTTTGACCATCGAATTTGCGCTCAAACTCAGGATTTGCAGATCTTAAAAAGTTTCATATGTCTCAAATGAATCCGAAAGAAGATTTCCACAACACTGCATACTCAATGCAACTACCTTACATAGCCGGTCACTCCCTTTAACAAAACTGTCCCAGAACCGGATAGCTGATAGCATGTTAGTGAATGAATAATTGAAAAAATTAATATTGATCAATGCTTATTGAAGTTTTTACTATTTTGCCTCACCATTTTTCTATACGGCCAGGACCCCGATCCTCAAGTGCCCGGATCCTCAATAAAAACTGGCCCGGATTCCGGATAGCATGTCACTGACCTGTATATTCTGACCAGCCAGTGTTCTGTTGTATACGCTTCCTCCAGGTAGGTCAGGTCAAAATCTTTGTGTCCTACACCAAACCAAAACAATTCAATTTTCGTTCAAACTATCAATCAATCAACCAACCATTCAATCAGTCAACCATTTAATCAATCAATCAATCAACCATTTAATCAATGAATCAATCAATCATTTGATTGATCAATGTTGATCGATTTATCAACTAGTTGTGTATTCAATCTTCCCATAGCTCATTTATCAATAAATTAACCGATTGAACACTCGATTGATCATTCTGTTGATCAATCAATCAACCAGTTAATTAATCAATTAACCAACCAGTAGATTGAACAAAAAATTAAAAATTGGATAATCAAGCAATGAACCAATTAATTCTACAATCTTAAAACCAAATAATAAATCAATTAAATAAACAATTAATCAGCCGGTAAATTGATTAATCAATCGACCAACGAAATGCTTAATCTTAATATCATCTAATAGATTATAGTCAATCAATTAACCAAAAGGTATTTTAATTAATCAACTAAAATCAACTAAAACACTATTCAGCCACATAGACATAGACATAGACAAATCAATCAATCAATCATAAGAAAAATTAAACTTTCGACATTTTTCTTTTAACATCAATTATCAAAAAAATGTGACATTTCCAGTCTCTTATAAGATATCAATATAATCTGATTTTTTCTCAAAAATTGTATTTTCTTCTCTTCTTGTTGGTTTGCGACCTTTATAAATAGTAATTTTCCCATTTACTGGGTTTAAGCAAATATCATATCTAATAAATACTTAATAGATATTGTTCAGTGCTCCCCACTACAGAATAGAAGAATGAGAGTTTACAAAGAAATACGTAAAAATAACACGTAACAATTCTTTTCCATTTAAAAAAACATTTTCATGTTTATCTTCAACAAGAAAATCTACATTAATTTTAGGGAAATTAAATTATTTTTTAACAAATGAAAGCTTGATATTAAGTTTCGGAGGTTGGAATTAATGAACAGTGAGCAGTTGAACAAGACAGGAGAAGTTAAGCCACTTCTCTGAACTTTAAAAGAGGAATAATTAGTTTTAAAAGAGAATTATTTTCAAAGAACATTATTTTAAAGTTTTTAGTTTTTTGGTTTCCTATGACAACATTTCTAGTTCTGTCAAACCCGGCAGGACTCCTATAATCCATCTTCAAATCTCCAAACCTAGAATGATTTTTTTTTGATCCGGATATAAAGCATGGAACTTTCACTGTTTACTATATACAGTATGGACACTGTGTATACTGTATAATGTGTGCAGTAGTGACCTGTAATAGGATAGCTTGTACATTAAACAGTTATGTAGTGTAGGTGATACTTCACTATCTACTATATACAGTATGTACACTCTATAATATGTACAATAGATACCTGTAATAGGATTGCTTGTACATTAAACAGTTATGTAGTGTACGTGATACTTCACTATCTACTATATACAGTATGTACAGTAGTTACCTATAATAGGATAGCTTGTACATTAAGCAGTTATGTAGTGTAGGTGATACTTCACTATCTACTATATACAGAATGTACACTGTATAATATGTACAGTAGTTACCTGCAATAGAATAGATTGTACATTAAACAGTTTAGTAGTGTAGGTGATACTTCCCAATCTACCATATACAGTATGTACACTGTACACTGTACAATGTGTACATAGTTACCTGTAATAGGATAGCTTGTACATTAAACAGTTTAGTAGTGTAGGTGATCCTTCACTATCTATTATATACAGTATGTACTCTGAACACTGTATAATATGTACAGTAGTTACCTGTAATAGGATAGCTTGTACATTAAACAGTTTAGAAGTGTAGGTGATCCTTCACTATCTACTCTAAATTCTCCTCTCTCTGTGAAGTAATCACTTTCCTTTATATCCTGAAATAAGAAAATATTATAAATCCATATTTCTGGCCTTTTCTCAGTTTCTGTTTCCAAAATAAATCTCGTGTTTAAACCCACGTCTCTATTCCGGTAATAAGCTATTTTAAAAAGACGCCAGCGCACTTTGATGCACTTATTCTTTCAAAGAGCCTCTTATGGCATTACAACCTGTGAATGTTCAAAGACGACATTATACCTGCGGTAAGTGTTCAAAGACGACATTATATCTGTGGTAGATGTTAAGACATTATATCTGTGGTAGATGTTCAAAGACGACATTATACCTGATGTGAATGTATAAAGACATAACCTGTGGTTAAGGTTGATGTTCAAAGACGACATTAAACCTGTCGTCAATGTTCAAAGACGACATTGTACCTGTGGGTGTTCTCCCTCTGCAATTCTAACCATCCAAAGGAACTTATTAATATCGTCTCCAGAGTATCCGATAACACCGCCGAAGATGACTATATCAAACAAATAAAAATAAATCGTCTAGCTCAACTAATTTTACGCCTTTTTAAATTTAATAAAAATTCGAAAATTTAAAATAAAGAAATATGTTTCTCAGCATTATAACGACTAGGAAGCTAAATAAAGAGATTAAAGGGAGATTAGTAAATTAGATGATCATTTGAGCCAATAATATTGTTGAACTACTTCCAGTCGGACCTAGTTGAACTACTTCCAGTCGGACCTAGTTGAACTACTTCTTTGCTATCCATAACTTTCCAATTATAAAGTACAACAAATATTTGTTAAAATGTCAAAATTTTGCAGCCAGCTTATTCATTAAATTTTTTTTTGGCGAAATATATTGAGAAGAAAAGGATATAATTCTAGTGCTAGAGAGTAGGGTTGGGATTTGTTTTAAAACGATCTAAAGTTTAACATTAAATTACATAATTCATTTCGATGCTGAAAACGTAATTTTTCCTGAACTATTATTTAAAAAAGTAAGATAAAAATTAAGTTAAAGTAACCCTCCACGCAAAGATGACAAAGATGTTTTTGATCAGATTAAGGTTTCAAGAGCCTTAATCTGATCAAAAACAAGGAAAATAATGTTGTTTTTCTAACTCGACGAGTGTTTAATTCTGATATTTTTTCCAGTCTTCTTATAAGCAAGAACTGCGCTAGTCACTTCTGCAGAGAAACCACTATGAAAATAACAAGGAGGTATAATTCAATCTAAGAAAGGTTTAAAGGTACCGTTTTAAATAGGGCACTGCCATTTTTGCATGGAGGGTCACTTGAATTTAAGCTTACAGTATATTTTAGATTCATACCTAGCACATAGTCCACATCTAGTTCAGTCATAATACTGTAGGCAGCACTCTCATTACTGGACATAGCTTTTCCGACCAGAGCAATATGGGAGTTATTCCACGTGTTGTTATCAACTAAAATATGGGAGTTATTCCACGTGTTGTTATCATCTAAAATATGGGAAATATTCTATGTGTTATCAACTAAAATATGGGAGTTATTCCACGTGTTGTTATCAACTAAAATATGGGAAATGTTCCATGTGTTGTTATCAACTAAAATATGGGAGTTATTCCTCGTGTTCTTATCAACTAAAACATGGGAGTTATTCCATGTGTTATTATCAACTAAAACATGGGAGTTATTCCACGTGTTGTTATCAATTAAAACATGGGAGTTATTCTACGTGTTATTATCAACTATAATATGGGAGTTATTACACGTGTTATTATCAACTAAAATATGGGAGTTATTCCACGTATTATTATTAACTAAAATATGGGAGTTATTCCACGTGTTATTATTAACTAAAATATGGGAGTTATTCCACGTGTTATTATCAACTAAAATATGGGAGTTATTCCACGTGTTATTATCAACTATAACATGGGAGTTATTCCACGTGTTATGATCAACTTTAATATGGGAGTTATTCAATGTGTTTTATCAACTAAAATATTGAATATATTTAAAGTGTTATTATTAACTAAAATATGGAATTTATTCAACATGTTTTTATCAACTAAAATATTGAATATGGGAGTTATTCAATGTGTTTTATCAACTAAAATATTGAATATATTTAAAGTGTTATTATTAACTAAAATATGGAATTTATTCAACATGTTTTTATCAACTAAAATATTGAATATATTTAAAGTGTTATTATGAACTAAAATATGAGATGAACCAAGGTTGTTTATTAAGGTTGCTTACTCTCGATGCACTCCAATGTACGGAAAATGTTGTCTTCTAAGTAATGAACCGTGAAATCAATAGATCACGTCACTGATAATAGAGCCGAGTGTAGGGATTAGTGACGTCATTTAAGGATTTCACTGTCAATTACTTAAACGACATTTCCCGTACATTGGAGCGCAAGAGAGTAAGGATAGTAAACAACCTTGAGATAAACCCTTGAATCAATCTAAGATGATCAACAGACATTTCATGATGCTTCTCACCTAGAGTTGTCCTATTGGCCATCCCTGCAATCTGGTAACCGTAATCCCACCAGGACATCACACGCGCATCCTCCGCTGTATTCTAAAAATTCGTTTCGTCAATATATGCAAGGATATGGACCCAGGTGTACCAACAAGAAGACTGAAAACACTAATCCAATTTGGTTCCACATAAATGGATGATTTTTAACGTCGACTTTGCGCTCAAACTCAGTAACTAAACATAATTAAAACGATTGATATGTCTCAAATAAATCCTTAAAAATTGCTCCTCAATACTGCATTCTCAGTTCAACTACCATAAACAGCTTAGGAACATGGCGTTGGACAGGTTAATATAAATATTCATAGTCATAGTTACTCCCACCGTTTACCCGCGCTTGGTAATAAATTATGATTGTAGCTATAGGGCCCAAATTACCCCGAGAAAAAATTCTAAATCACACAGGCTATATATATATTGATATATATATATATGTGCAAAGAGCTTTTATTATTACAAGTGTGGTCTTCTTGTCATGCCTAGGAAGGTTATTACATCTGTTATTGTTTTGATAAAACTACCAGTCCTATTAAAGGGAGTGTTCGCGAAAAATGAAAAGGGGTATAGGCTTACGGAGAAAAATTATCGAGTGTGATCGCGTCTAATCCTACTTTTATCTGTTGCGTCTATGAGGAGAAATTTGTTAAAAACGCCTGATGCCAAAGAACGTTGCGTCCATATAAAGCCAGGATGTTGCAACATTCAACTCAAATCGTAAAAGAATCTGTTTAATTCCAAACAAATCATTCAGATATTACAACCTATAGTCATCGATAATTTTTCGACGCATTCGTATATAGTTGATATTTCATAACATTTTTCATTTTTTATGATCTGAGAGTTTCTTTTAAGAATATTTATTCATGTTTCGAGAATTTTTGATAATGAAGACGACATTTTTATATTTTCCAAGAATGCTCCAACAGTGAAAACAAGTAAGCTAAATATTATTAAAAACAATATTATGAAATATAAACTATATAGTATATACAAATATGTCGAAAAATTATCGATGATTATAGGTTGTTATATCTGAATGGATTTTAAAGTATTTTTAAAGTCAATATAATTCCATTTCTGATCCCAAATGGGATCGGGGTTGAAAGTACATTTGGGGTTTTGAAAAAACACTTTTTGTGTCATTGTGAACTTTTGCAAGGTTTTTGTGTACGTATACTACTTTTTGGAAATGTGTACTGTATTTGGGGTGTTAAAAATAAGTACTCCCTTGCAGTATGGAATTTTTTCTACAACTTGACATTATACTTCCAATTGTTTACAATAACATGTTTAATTTCTGCCCCTAATATCAATCCATCAACATTTGGGATCCTATTGGATGGAATCTGCCATCAATTTTAAAGAAAAACAACGACTACTTTAAGAATAAAAAGTTGTTAAAACATAAATGTTAAACCTGCCAAAGCCAATAGTACGCTTCTCTGAAATCGTCCAATATCTGTCTTGAGCCATCATTCCCGTAGCTAGCCAACACTGAACAAGTAAGATTTAAAAAATAAAATAAGTTTACAAAAATATTTATCCAGCATCAATTCTACCCAATCCTGGAAATGTTCTGAAAAAAAAACAGGATCAACAGCTAAGTTTTCTTTGCGCTGTACACTGATAATCACAATGGCTTGTTCTCGATTTTCACTGCGGTCCCTTTTAAATTAAAGATCGATGTTCAATCGAGATCCAACATCGATACCCACAATTAGTTCCCAGCTCTGATCCTAAAAAAGAAAATTCACTTATTTTAAGCTGATATTAAACCATTTTTGTTTTTAATATTTGTAGTAAATACTTGTTCGAAAACTACTTGAATTAAGAATGGTAAATCTGAAAAACAATTCTTTCAGAGAATAAAATTTTTTTTTTAAATGCGGGACTGATATAATGGAGTTTTTTTTTAAAATTAGTTAAATCTAATATTGGAAAAGGTTGTCAATATTGGATTGGATTAGCATTTTCAATATTCAAATCTTAGGAAAAATAAACATTGTGAAAATATTTATCAAATTTAACAAAATTAGATGTCTAGAAAAGAATTAAATTTTCCATTTTCGATACTCATTCATTCATTCATTCATTCATTCATCCTTTCATTCATCCTTTCATTCATTCATTCATTCATCCTTTCATCCATCCATCCTTTCATTCATTCATTCATTCATTCATTCATTCATTCATTCATTCATTCATTCATTCATTCATTCATTAATTAATTAATTCATCCTTTCATTCATTCATTCATCCTTTCAAAATGAGTTTGATACTGTATGTAGAGCACTAAGCTCTAATGACCAAAAAGTTAAACGGAGTGACCGGCTCTGTAAGGTAGTTGAGCTGAGTATGCAATGCAGTGTTGTGGAAAACTTCTTTCGTATTCATTTGAGACATATTTAACTTTTTAAAGATCTGTAAATCCTGAGTTTGAGCGCAAATTCGACGTTCAAAACTCCTACTTCGGGGGGGGGGGGGGGGGGGGGGGGGGTAAATGGGTACGTTTTCTTATATCACGAGTAAATGGTTACGTTTAAGATCGGCTGAAGAGCCGTTGTGGATCGAACATGACTTACCAATACTAGGACTACTGTACGCATTACTGGTGACCCATGTGCAGTGAACTGCAAACATCATGAGAAGCATTAGTACTGCAATAACAACAATACTGCGCAGGTTCACTCCTAGTCCGTCTCCACTTCCCTTAAAAATTTTTTTTAATAAACTTGAATTAAAGTTGTGACAACTTTTATCCACATTAAAAAAATCCCCAAAAAGCATTTTTTTAAAGCTAACTTAATTATTTTGTACATAAATGGTTTCGAAAAAAACTTAAAACAGATGACGTGTCTTTTAAAGATGAAAATTGTCTGAAAATTAAGAAGTAAGCAATTAGACACGGAAACCTGCAAACTCACAAAAATATTGAGGTGAAAATAAAATTTTGCCCAATCTTACATTATGATTAAAACTATTCAGTATTGAATCTAACCTGTTCATGTTTCATTTTTCTAATCTTCCCAGCTTTGTCGTAAAGTCGGCCGTTCTTCTCGTTCGTCTCAGGATCCTCGTCCTTTGGGCCTTCGTCCTCCTATTCATATATTCATATATTCATCAATTAATCCTATACTTCGTCCTCCTATTCATTTATTCATCCTTTACTTCGTCCTCTTATTCATTTATTCATTCATTTATACAATCATATTTTAATATATTCATATATTCATATATTCATACATTCATCCTTATATTTCCCAACTCCAGACAAGGAACCAAGAATGTTTGGCACATTGCCCAAAAATTCCTAATATACAGGGGTCAAGAAAAAAGTTTTGAACTAGGGAGAAATTATATTAGAAAATATACACCCCTGAAATAAAGGAAAAAACCTTAATAAAAATGGAGAAAGTTACCTTGAGGTAGATAGAGAACAGCTTGCTGAAGGCTATTGCTGCCAGGATACAAACACAAGGGGTTAGGGTTAACATTAACCTGCAATATTAAATATTAAAGGGATTGTTCATGTTTTTCACATAGAATCCTAGTCGATACATTCTCATCTGGATTGTTAGTTTGTAACATTGTGTTCCAAGAACAAGAGCAGACGTTTTAGAGTTCAAATGTGTGCGAAGAAAAAATAGTAGCATGAAAAAGCAACTTTCAAAAACTGAAATTATTGTAAAAAATTCTGAAATATTTTTTTTCATAAAATCTAAAACCTTTTTTTAGATATCGGAAAAAACTATTTCGATTATCTCACTTCGAAAATTTTGAAGAACCTGGTTTGACTAGCTCTAATGGAAAACCTGATTTTCTGAACCTGGTCTGACTAGCTCTACTGGAAAACCTGAATTTCTGAACCTGGTCTGACTAGCTCATATTGGAAAACCTGATTTCTGTATCAAGAATTTGACTGCCTTCCTTATCCAAAGAAATCAAAGCATTTTAACTGAATTAAAAAAAAAACAAGATTCTCAAATTAGGTTTCACTCTAGTGTGTAGAACTACTGTGAAGGTGAACTGTTTCGGACAAATAATCTGTCGCCGTTCTGGGATTGCTCAGGATCGGCTCAAACATTTTCTAAACAATGTTCTACGTTATAAATGTATTTAACGCATACCTGACCATAACTCCGGCAAAGTAGACGGCTGAGATAGCGTAGAGAACAATGAAGACTCTTTCATCGTTAATGTTCTTGATGCAGTACCTAGAAATCAAATAATGGTTTATTCCAAACATTCTTTATTAGGCATTTAGTTAATTGTTTGTCAATAGAATCACTTTATCGAAATTGATTTCATGGTATATTTATTCAATGATAAGATAGATTTTAAAAAGTATTGATTTAATAAAAGATTGATTTAAGAAAAGATTGAATCAATAAAAGATTGATTTAATGATTAGATTGACATAAAAAAATTATTAATATATTATTTAATAAAATATTTATTTCAGAAAAGATTGATTAAATGATAAGATTGATTTAATAAAATATCGATTTAAGAAAAGATTGATTAAATGAGTAGATTGATTTAATAAAATATTGATTTAAGAAAAGATTGATTAAATGATAAGATTGATTTAATAAAATATCGATTTAAGAAAAGATTGATTAAATGATAAGATTAATTTAATAAAATATCGATTTATTAAAATATTGATTTCAGAAAAGATTGATTTAATAAAAGATTGATTTAATGATTAGATTGATTTAATGATTAGATTGACATAATAAAATATTGATTTAATAAAAGATTGATTTTATAAAAGATTTAATGACAGATTGATTTTAAAAAAACTGATTTAATAGAATATTGATTTCATGAAAGATTTATTTAATGTTGGATTGATTAATTGATAAATTAATTCATGGTCGATTGATTATTTAATGAGAGATTGATTTAATGGTAGACGAGTTGATAAAAGATTACTATCATGGTGTAATTTGGTGGATTGATTTAAAAAGATGGATCTATTGGTTAATATTGTTTGAATGATTGATTGATCGATTATAATGCTTCAATTAATCACAATTTTTTCAATGGCATTTTACTCACTGGTGGACTATAGATTAATCTAACATTGATTGATTTCAAAATGGATTGATTTTATGCTTGATTGATTTATTGATAATGATGGATGTTTGATTCAACGATATTTTTATAATTAATTGATTTAAAGAAAGATTGATTTCATTAAAGATTGATTTGATGAAAGATTGATTTAAGAAAATACTGATTCAAGAGAAGAGTGATTTAATAAAAGATTGATTTAATAAAAGATTGATTTAATAAAAGATTGATTTAAGAAAAGATTGATTTAAGAAAAGATTGATTTAATAGAAGATTGATTAAAGTAAAGATTGATTTCAGAAAAGATTGATTTCAGAAAAGATTGATTTCAGAAAAGATTGATTTCAGAAAAGATTGATTTCAGAAAAGATTGATTTAAGAAAAGATTGAACTACGAATTGATTAAAAGGAAGTTTGATTTGATGACAGATTTATTTAAAGAAAGTTTTATTGAATGAAGGATTGATTTAATAAAAGATTGATTAAATAAAAGAATGATTAAAGAAGAGATTGATTAAAGAAACATTGAATGATATTTTTATTTTTTAAATATATTTATTGATTACTTAATTACCAGAGTCCGACGGGGAAAACGCATGCCAGGACATGAAGATCGAAGAAGAATGAGAACCACGTGGTAGGCTGGTGCTCAGATACACTAGCTATAATTGGTATATGGATCTTAGCATACCCAGTATCCCATAGAGAATAAAACCGTCCAGACCACGGAGCTACTACACCTAGAAACATTCACGGTTAAAGAGAGGTCGAATTTTTTACATCTTATTTGCTTCAACCAGAGCATACAAATTTTAACAACTTTGAGCAAAGAATCTTTTTTGTAAAATCAATTTAAGTTGGACTAACTTAAGAAAAACATATTTTAAAAACCACTAGTAAAAAAAAGATCCACTTCAGCTGTTTTAGGTCAATTTTTTTAGTTTTTTTTAAATTAAAAAATTGGTCCAGTTAAGGCCCAAAAACGCGTTATTTTTGGACAAACAAAATGTCCTTCCATTAACCGTTTTCTTCAAACTTTTTTTTTAGATTTTAACTATTACATTGTTGGTTTCATCGAGGATATTTTGATTCCCGGAAAGTCGTACTTCGACCAATTTTTTCAGCTTTTATTGTCTAGTTGATAAAATTTATCTGTCATTAAAACAAATTTTCGTCCGCGAAATATTGACTTGAGAGAACAAAGATTTTCTTAAAAACGTTTCAATATCAAATGCTAATCTGGTGAAGCAAGTGGAATTTCTAAATCGGCCTTGGTTACTGCAAACTGAAAGTATGAAAAAGAAACAAATCTGAAAGAATAATAATTGTCTTTAAACATTCTCTAAGAAGTGAATATTGGCAAATTCTCTTTTTTTCATATCATACCCTAAATTTGTTTTGTTTTCTATTTTTTTCCATTTGAAAACCCATTGAAAAAAAGTTTTTTGTTTATCTATTTTTTTGTTATATAACGTTTGTTAACATTGACTTTGATGGTTATTGTATCGTTAGAACTCGAGAGAATCCAGGACCGGATTTTTTTTAAAATGTGGAATTAATTCCCTACTTTATTTACCCAACGAGGTTTGGATCATCATCAACACCGAATTTTAAATATATGAATAGATGTATGATGGGAGGGGGGGGGGGCATCAAACGTGTACTAAACCTCTATTCCCCCTTCCCCGTCATGTTAGGTAGAAAAATGTAAAAATGTAAAATAATACAAGAATGGAAATTGATAATTGGATAATCAGATAATCATAATTATATTTTATACCAATAACTAACAATTGTAAAATGTCAAAAGGAAGATTATGGTTTTTGATAATGGATTTATTATGATCACTAAATCGTCCAATTATCTTCAAAATTGTAGATAAATAATTAAAAATGTCAGAAAAACGTTTTTTTAAGAAACCATGAAAGATTACATTTGATGAGTTCTTTTTACAGGTGCGAATACTTTTTCATTCTTTTTCATACTTTTAACCCAAAAATTCATTTATTTTCCCCAAGTCAGCGAAAAAACCCTAAAACTTTGTTTTTGCCACTCCGTGCAAATATACATAACATCTGTAAAAAATAAATGATTTTCAAAAAAAAGGGGGAGGTGGAAATATACACCCCTGTCTTTTATCTTAAAGATCACTGCTGGGAACTTTAGAATGAGAAACCTGTAATACCGACTGCTTTATCCGAATATCCAATGTGGACACTTCAAATTTCTTACTTAATCTTCTCTTTTTTGGATATAGTACAGAAAAATAAAAACCGGTTTTTCAAAATTAGAGAGACCCTTCCGTTTCTGTACTTAAATGGCGCGCAAAATTTCAAATTTTCCGGCTTATGAAACGCGACTCTGATTGGTGAACACTTTTCAAGATACAAGTACAAGATTAGGTTAGTCTCGATATTAAGAAAAAGAGAGGATCAAGCATTAATCTTGATATCCACCATTCTTAAGTTCCCAGCTCAGATCAGATAATTGATGGCTGCTTACCTGCCCATGTAAGTCCGACTACTAAAATCAAGATTAAAGCGGCGGCAAGAGATCCCACAGCAAGAAAAACCACCTTTAACAAGAAAAGATGCTTGATTTTGATTTGAAAGGAGTACACAGTACGAGTACAATTCACAAGAACACAGTGAACTAATATGTTCACACAGAACACAAATATGTACATAGAAAACTTCACAAGTACACAGTACACTTTGCTTGAAAGCATGCTAACAGTAAAAAAGCATTGAAGGTACACGGTACACTTCACGTGCACAAAGTAAAGCTTCACAGAAACTCCCGAGTTTCCTTTTTGGGGTTCTAACCTTGTTGTAGATTTTGATTTACGAGATTCGAAAAAAATGGAGAATATGTGAAAACTAAATAAAATAATTTTTAATAACAAAAATATTGATATCCACAAAACTGCCTCACCCCATTCTAAAAACCCGGATTCTAAAACTGGTTTTCATAAGGATACCCTGTCCTAAGTTTTTGGCTCAGGCATACAGTACTCAACACTCATCACATGTATTCAGTTCACTTCATATGTACACCGTACACTTTACATGTATGTACAATGTACATTATACACTTTAAAAGTTCAGTGTACTTCACTTTCCATGTTCATCTTAATCTTCCTGTAAACAACAGTACAAAAAACTTATGCATATTGTACAGTGTAAATTACAGTATACATAATCACTTACTTTAAAATCTGATTTTGAGAGGAAACTTCTAAGGTAGTTGAGAAGCGCAACCGCCTAAACATAATAGATTTTTTTTACAGGGGTGTATATTTTCTTTTCTGAGGGAAATTATTTTTAAAGTACATTTAGGGGCATATAAAAACACTTACTATGTCAATGCGAACGTACTGCATTTGGGGCTTAAAGTATGTAAATATCAGTAATCAATTCAATATAAAAGAGAAATTATGATATACAGAAAATAAACACTCCCTTGCAGTAAACATTCTGCAGTATCGAATGTTTTCTACGACTTGAAATCATACTTCTAATTGTTAACAAAAACAATAAGGATAATTTCTGCCCCTAATATCAATCAATCAACATTTGGGATCGCCCGTCGGGAATTATATAGACCCCTGTAATTTTCATTTATAGGGGGGAGGGAAGGGGGGGTTGTACCTGTAAAAGACCGAAAACTCCAGCAGACGCCATATGCTCCGAGGTTTGGATGGGCTGGAACCCGACGAACGGGATCTGCATAGAGCAGAGGAGACCCATGATGAAGAAGGAGTTGTACGCCACGTAGATCCTCTTTAACACATAGTTAATTTAAAGAAATTCATTTAATTTTTACTTTAAAATTTCCAAAAAAAACTTGATCATAAATAAATATAAAAGTTGCTTGAAATGAGAAATTTTTAAATACTCATTTTACTCTCAATCTAGAGGTTGTTAAAGATTATATTTCCTATCAACTCATTAAAGATATCTAAACGTTCTTAAATCAAGGGTGGGCAAATAAAGAGTTTTACAAATACACGATGAACTCAGTTTCGGTGGATAAAACAGGTTCAGCGGTCTTTTAACATTCATGTTTATTAGGCTTACATGTCGGAAGAATAATTTAATATTTTTTATGATAAATATTTAAAAATAATTATCTTATTTGCCTCGCTCCATTTCATTTTATACGTGCAATACTGCAACTATAACTCTGAGACTTGAAAACTGGGTTCAATTTCATGTTTCGGTTCAAGTCCAGTTTCCGTTGCGTTTGTTTACTAACAGTAATTTTACATTTATACACACGGCCACCGAAACTGAGTTCATTGAGTATTAAAGAATTGGAACTATTCTGTACACAACATTCTCTATTGGGGTTACCTTGCCCTTTATCATTTAATGAAACGTTACCTCAGAGAATCTACCCATCAGGATGAGAACGAAGACGTGAAGAGGAATCAAGTTTATGATGAACACGTATCCTCCCCAGGCAGACACCTAACAAAAGATAGGTTTAAGGAACCGTAGACGAAGTGACAATCCATTTACGGCATGTAAGGTTCCCCTCCCCTCTCAACATAGAAAACTATTCTATGTTTAGTGTGTATACATTTTTGGAATAGTTCTATTCGTAATTTTGAAGGGGGAAAAAAATATTTCTTGCAGATATCATTCTCGTATATTCTTGTATTTGATTCAAAAGTTTCAATATCAGTGGAAAAACTAGCTTGTTGATGTTTATTATTAATTGCTCTTACAATATTTTCCGTGGATTTTCAAAATTTATGAAAATCAAAATTTTTTGTAATTTGAGCATCCATAATCCATATAAACCTTCCCTGGGGTCATGTGAGGTTCAACAAAAAATTGAGCCCGATCTATTTAGCCGTTTTAACGTTTATCGGTTACAAACAAATAAACAAGCAAGTTTATATGGATGACAAATTAAGAAGGTTGATCCAGATTTAGATCCAAAATATTGCTCTTAAAAAAATCGACGAAAATCCCCAAAAAGATTGTTTACAAAGGAATTATGTCACGTATTTTAGCAATGTCGGATATTTTGTGACTGAATGTGTTATTGAGAAAACACAACCAGGAATAGAATATCCATTTTATATTCCCAATTTTACAATGCTTTGCAAACTCAATCTTAAATTTACAAACAAACAAATATTGAAAAAGGGAGACAAATCAGATAAGTAGATTTTTTTAAAGCAATGTATAACATTGTACTTTGTACCATGTGCGGCATTTTCAAATTTTCGCGGATTTGTACTCTTCGAATTGGCGCATTTTCAAAAAATCTAACTTTTTCCCAAGATTTTTTTCTTCCAATTTTGATGTTCCATAAACCTTCCCTGATATCATGTGAACATTTGGGCCTGATCGGTTTAGCTGTTTTGACGTTTATCGGCTACAAACAGACAAACACACAGACAAGCAACGGCAACAAACACCCAAACACACAGACAAGCAAAGTAAAGGTTTTCTTGATAAAGAAGAGAGGTCAAACGTATAATTTTTCTCTCACAAATGTTTGAAAATATATTTATCACTCTTAACGTTATGTACACTTACCATGTAGAAGTATGAGAGCGCAGTACAGGCGCCCCAGTACACGGATCCTGTTTTTACCGCTTTAATCCAGAGGTAGTACGTAAACATCAGAGCAAATATAGCAATACCCTAAACATCGATAAACCGGATTTACAATTAGTGGATCTAATGAGAGGGAAAATCTAAGATTACCCTAACAAACCAATAGCGTCATTATTAATGGTTGACATTTTACTTACAGACAATTTTAGAAAATAGCATCTTTCCAGCAGTCTTGTCCGTTGGCATTTAAGCTGTAATTTTTTTCTCTTTCTGACNATTCCCTTATCTCATTCACTGTCTGGAACACTTATTTTTCCAAGATGATCAACCTCCCTTCAAAATCTGCCACTTTTATGTAAAATCACTCCGTTCCCTTTAAAATCAACCTTCTCACTACCAAATCTACCAAACTTTTTCCAAATTAATCCCACACCGTTCTCCAAATCTCCTTTAAAATCAACCTTCCAAAAAATCTACCACCGTCCCCAAAATCTACCAGCGTCCTTAAAAATCCACAAACTATCGCCAAAATCCCAACACACCTTTCCTCCCTTTTCACTTCCCAAATCCCTTCCTTCTCTGGAATCCCTAGACCTAGTGTAAACCTTGTTATCATAGCTGCCACCTACCAATCTGCTAATATATCCAGGTACAATTGCGATATCCCCCCCCCTAGACCTAGTGTATAGTGTTTACCTCATTATCGTAGCTACCAGCTACTGATCTGCTAATATATCCAGGTACAAATGCTATATCCCACCTAGACCTAGTGAATAGTGTATACCTCATTATCGTAGCTACCAGCTACCTATCTGCTAATATATCCAGGTACAATTGCGATATCCCACCTAGACCTAGTGTATAGTGTACCTCATTATCGTAGCTACCAGCTACTGATCTGCTAATATATCCAGGTACAATTACGATATCCCCCCCCCTAGACCTAGTGTATAGTGTTTACCTCATTATCGTAGCTGCCAGCTACTGATCTGCTAATATATCCAGGTACAATTGCGATAAAACACGCTGCAAACAATCCTGCTCCCTCATTCCACAATTCCTTAACAAAATATTTGTATTACATCTTGTTAAATGGAATGTAAGCGTAATTTCAAGTGACCTTCCATTTATAGAGTAACATGTGAGATTTACAACGATACCCTTTACATAAACCTTTGTTTGATCAAGGATTTGGTAATATTCTTATTCATATAGAGAAATTAAGTGCCAAGCAACCGCACGAGTGTACACTAGCACGGAGTGTACAGTGTACACCATAACCTCAAGTTTCCCTGCACTCAATCTTCAGCTTAACAATGAGGGTATCTACCTCATCATTGTCCGGAAAAGATTTAAATATTAATAAGGAACGACAGCTATTTAATGACAAATAATGAAAAAAACTACTCGAGGTAATCAAATTAGTCATAGTTTTTTATCATTTACAAACTCAGGATCATCTCATTTTCCATGCTTAAAGGGAAAGTATAAGTAATTTCAAATTACCCTCGGTATCCGAATCACATTTTTACCATTCAACCTCAATCTGAGAAACAATATGGAAGATATCGTAGCTTTTTCTTGATTTTCTTTGTTGTAAAAATCCTAACATAAGTTTCATAGAGAAAAAAAAAATAATTAATCTTCCGAGATAAAATCTTATTTATTCCTTGATATGGTATGATGATAGGACATAACACTTTTTAGATAAAGAAATACTGGAATTAACGTCGTAAGCCTCTTTTAAATGACTTAACGCAAAGGTCAATTTTAGGGTTGTGACCGGCAATATATGGTAGTTGAACTGAGAATGTAGTATTGTGGAGAATTTTTTAGGATTCATTAGAGAGATATAAAACGATTTAACGATACATATTTGTTCAACAAGAGCGCAAATTCAACCTTTAGAATCCTCACAAATTCCATTTTAGAGGGATGATGACTGGGGTTTTAAAAAGTTATTCAATAACGACGACGGAAAATGTAGAAAAAAATCTACAGTAAACTAATTTGTTTTTTCGGATCAGGTTGGAAAATAAAATCAACTCTTATCATCGAAATTAAGTAATCTTATTAAATTATTGGTTTCTATGATGTCATATATAGATCTTTAACATTTTCTGGAGATTTCCTGAAATTTTTGATGAAACATTTGAAGAATTTGAAGTAATATGCGAATAAATTAGTAAAGAATAAGAAATTCAATATAATGATGAAAAAGAAATAGTTGATTCTAACAAAGATTTATTGACAAATTTCTTTTGAATAATATTATCATTTATCCTAATAATCTTAGAAGTTTACTGCAGAATTTTTTTTCATCTTTTGTCGTCGTTATAAATAATTAAAAAAAATAATCTCAAAACGTTACCACCCAAATGGATGATTTTAAAAGTCGACTTTGCGCTCAAACTCAGTAAATATACATCATTAAAACGTTTTATTTCTCTCCAATGAATTTCTCCACAATAATACATTCTCAGTTCATCTAACATACATTGCCGGTTGCTCCCTTTAATAATCTAACGGTAAAAGACCTAGTTCACCTTTGTTAGGAAGTAAGTGGATACGGCTGTCAGCCCACTGAAGAGGGGAGCCAGGAATACACAGACATCCCTGGATAAATACTAGCTAATGGTAGATATATATAATTAACATGAATTAACCCGCTGAAAGGGGGGGGGGAGCAAGGAATACACAGATATCCCTGGATAAAAACTAGCTAATGGTAGATATATATAATTAACATGAATTAACCCGCTGAAAGGGGGGGGGGAGCAAGGAATACACAGATATCCCTGGATAAATACTAGTTAATGGGAGATAGATATAATTAACATGAATTAACCCGCTATAGGGGGGGGCAAAGAATACACAGATAGCCATGGATAAAAACTAGTTAATGGTAGATAGATATAATTAACATGAATTAACCCACTGAAGGGGGGAGGGGAGCCAGGAATACACAGATATCCCTGGATAAATACTAGTTAATGGGAGATAGATATAATTAACATGAATTAACCCGCTATAGGGGGGGGCAAAGAATACACAGATAGCCATGGATAAAAACTAGTTAATGGTAGATAGATATAATTAACATGAATTAACCCACTGAAGGGGGGAGGGGAGCCAGGAATACACAGATATCCCTGGATAAATACTAGTTAATGGGAGATAGATATAATTAACATGAATTAACCCGCTATAGGGGGGGGCAAAGAATACACAGATAGCCATGGATAAAAACTAGTTAATGGTAGATAGATATAATTAACATGAATTAACCCACTGAAGGGGGGAGGGGAGCCAGGAATACACAGATATCCCTGGATAAAAACTAGTTAATGGTAGATAGATATAATTAACATGAATTAACCCACTGAAGGGGGGAGGGGAGCCAGGAATACACAGATATCCCTGGATAAATACTAGTTAATGGGAGATAGATATAATTAACATGAATTAACCCGCTATAGGGGGGGGCAAAGAATACACAGATAGCCATGGATAAAAACTAGTTAATGGTAGATAGATATAATTAACATGAATTAACCCACTGAAGGGGGGAGGGGAGCCAGGAATACACAGATATCCCTGGATAAATACTAGTTAATGGTAGATAAATATAATTAACATGAATTAACCCACTGTAGAGGGGAGCAAAGAATACACAGATATCCCTGGTTGAAAACAAGTTAAAGATAGATAGATATAATTAACATGAATTAGTTAATGATAGATAGATAGATATAAATTGACATGAATTAGTCCGCAAAAGAGGGGAGCCAGGAATACACAGAAAGAAAACAGCCTTTTAATAATTAATTCAGTTTTTAGAATAATTTAAAAAATTCGATGAGGTTTTCATAAATCCTTGTCATAAATTCTTTGTAAATAACATTTTCTTACTGAATTCAATTTATCATGATAATTCCATTTTTTTTATAACTTATTTGTTGATTCATGGCACGTTCTTTTCCGTTGAAATAATAATACTGTTATGCCTATATAATAAAACAAGACATTCGTATATATATATATATGTTCCGTATAGCCGGCCAAACGACTAAACCGATAGGGCTGAAACCACTTTTGTTAAGATATTTTTAAGTTTTCAAACGCAGTTTTTAGCTTTAAATAAAAATTTTTTTTGTTGACGACTTTCAGCTGATCAAGACGTATCTTTTGATACCAAAATCTACGCCTTTTTAAAAAGTTGAAAAAAAATAATTCTTTATTTTCAATATACGTTTTTAAAAAATTTTGAAGTATTTATGTCTTGCTGAGTCTATAAATCGCATCATAATGTGTTTTATTAACTGTCACAGAGTTCAGACGAATTCATCAAAAGTTTGGAATTGAATTTGCTTTATAATTTTAATTTAACCGGGATAGAAATTAATTGGATTTTATTCAATTCATAAAGTTTGTAATTTGTAAACCAGTGCAACATGCAGGATTTTATATTATTTATATTATTTTAAATCTTGTGCACTTTTACTTAAAACTTCAAGACCACTTTTTAAGAACAGCTTTTCGCTAACAAACCGGGTTGCTTGTCAATTTCGATGTGTTAAAAACAAATTTCGTAGATTTCGTGCCAGAATCTTTACATAAAAATAAATGATACACATTTTTTTGATATTAATAATAACTAGCTGAAGAGCCCGGCGTTGAACGTAAGAAAAAAAGTTTGGAAGAAAAAAAAATAAAAAAATCGAATTTTTAGCCTATGACACGACCACCTATGAGTGTCCACAAAAAATTTCAGCCCTATCGGTTTAGTCGTTTGGCCGGCTATACGGAACATATATATATATATACGAATGTCTTGTTTTATTATATAGGCATAACAGTATTATTAATAAAACACATTATGATGCGATTTATAGACTCAGCAAGACATAAATACTTCAAAATTTTTTAAAAACGTATATTGAAAATAAAGAATTATTTTTTTTTCAACTTTTTAAAAAGGCGTAGATTTTGGTATCAAAAGATACGTCTTGATCAGCTGAAAATCGTCAACAAAAAAAATTTTTATTTAAAGCTAAAAACTGCGTTTGAAAACTTAAAAATATCTTAACAAAAGTGGTTTTACGTGTTTTTTGATACCCATAAGTGATTTGATTCAAACAAAAAGCAAAAATCAGAATGAGATATAGAAAACTTTAGAAGTAATGCAGTGTTGATTTGAGCATTTTCATCAAAAAAGTGCCGAAAGTTTCATCCTTAAAAGTTACTAATAATGTATTGTATAGGCCTAGAACTACTGACAAAAGTGTACTGCATATTTGATTTGTATACTGTAGTAGCTTGGGAACCCAGCGTTTCCCATGCAACTCATAGTTACTCCCACTGTTTACCCGTACTAGGTCTTAAACTACCATTTTAACTATTTTTTTCTTTAAATGTCGACCCACTCAACTTAGAATCTTAAAACCAAGTGCCTCACTCAAAATTTTAGGCAAATCGATCCAGAAGTTCACGAGTTATGATCGGACATACAAACGAACATATTACGACATAATATGTAGAAGTTTGGACAGATTCTCCTCCCGTCATTTGTTAGTAAACCGAATTGTATATTTGTAGTCCGGAATATTAGGTCATACAGCCAGTATTTTATCATTTCTTAACACCCCATTTTTGACTGAGTCTTATCACCATAATTTTCCAATAAAATTAAAAATTCAAAAGAGTAAGGTACGGTTTTCTAATTTTACTTTTAAGTTTTATGTGTTTTGACAATATTCATTTTGAAAAATTCCATTTTACATAAAAAGATTTTTTATTTTTGTTCTCTTCTTTGTTTATTTTAGTTGCTGTGTTTGTATTATTTATTTTTATTTTTTGCTTATATCTGTTATATTATAGGACAAACTCCTGATGATGCCAAAGTTTTTGGCGAAATATATTGAGAAGAAAATGATATAATTCTATTGCTAGAGAGTAGGGTTGGGATTTGTTTAAAAACGATCTAAAGACATGAGAGTATAACTTGAAAACCTACTTTTTAATGCTAAATTTTAAAATTGTTGCAAGAAGGGGGTCCTCATTTCAACCAGACACACGGACAAGCGAAAGTCAGAAAATCAAAAAGTGCATAGGTATTAAAATGCAAAAAAAATATTGCTCCACCATAATGAATTTAGGCAGAAGTAGTTTCAGGAAAAAATCATGATTTTTGTTAAGGATAGGGAGGGCTGTTCGACATTTTGTCACACCAAATTGTGTGGCTTTAAATATTGAGATAAAAGAGTAAGATTTTTCATGTAGACTCCAATTGTGGCCATCAAAGAAAATTTGGGATTGGAGGTCATCAACCTCCATCAAAGGAAATTTGGGATTGGAGATCATCAACCTCCATCAAAGGAAATTTGGGATTGGAGGTCATCAACCTCCATCAAAGGAAATTTGAGAGTGGAGGTCATCGACCTCCATCAAAAATCAAGGTTTTGCAGAAAAAAAAACAATAACAACTTGCACCTGATGCAATGCTCTTAATCAACCTATAATTTTTCACAAAATCCTCATATTGGGCCACATCAACTATAGAACCTATGCACCTAAAAAATTGTTTAACCACCCTTCTTTTGTAACCCTAATAAATACCTGATGTGAATTGGAATATTGAGAAGAGAGAGAACGTAGTGGATTGAACCAGAGGTTATCATCAAGCCAGGGTAAACCGTTCCTCCAACAATTCTAAACAAATAAAAACTCTATAAAACTTACATACTTACTTCAGTTTGCGCATTGCATGCATATTGTATAGTTATTTAGAAAAAACGTAACAAATATTACAAAAAGATGTTGGTTCACCTAATTTCTTGAAATTTGTTCTCTACATATGTTTATTAAGTGGTTCCTCTCAGTTTTAAAATCAGGAATTTTGTCCAATCTCAACATATGGATTTCACTTCATGTTGATTGAGGGTACAGACAAGCTTTCTAAGCGGTGCTATGGAAACAAGTGAGTTTGGGTGCGTTTCCTTCTTTTTCCAAGAATTATCGGAAATTTCTTTAAAATAAAAACTGAAAAGTATTGAGGGGTTTCCGCTATATTCACATTTGAATCGTTTCCCGTTTTTTGGGGTCTGTTTTCGGTTTTCAAAAAAGTTTTAAATCCTTAGTTTGTTGATTGGTTTCCTCTTTTTTGGGTCCGTTTTCGGACATGAGCAAGAGGCAGGAAACAAAATTAAATCAGGACAAACCTTTATCATATAAAAGCTTTGTATGATTATTTTCAATTGCGGATTCTCACAAAATGACGAGCGCATTTCTACTACAGGAAAACAAAGGGAATTTCCAGAACTAAACACTTTCAAACCTAGAAAAACGACGATATATTCCACTTATTGACCAGATAAAGGATTCAGGGGTTATTCGGACATTGCCATCTTTGCATGGAGGGTCACTTGAAATTACAATTAAAGTTTTTTAAATCTCCAATTTGAAAAAGAGTAAAACTTTTTCATATAAAATGTCAAAACACTTTTGCAACATAAAAAAATTAACCAGTAGCAATTTAGAAGCAACATTTAATTAAGTAAAAATTGACAATATCAAACTTTGAAGCAAAAAATCTCGCATTTTTATAAAACACTGTATCAAAGAAAACTGCAGATTTGACGCAAGGTGAATTTGAGCATTATCATCTAAAAAAGTGCCATGTAGTTTCACCCTTTATTTGAAGAATCAATACCTGCCGAGTGGGTACCATGCTCTCTCATCAAACCAGTTGAGGAAATCATAAAATCCATGCTCCACCATGTACGCTGTAGATCTGTAGTTAAACCTTAACATTAAAAATGAGAATTAAATTCAATATATGACAATAATATTTAAAACATACTAGAAGCTTGGGGAACTCATCGTTACTCCCACCGTTAATCCGTGCTTGGTCGTTAATCACGATTTTATCTATTTTCACCAACAAAGTCGACCTATTTAACTTAGAATCTAAAAACCAAACTTAGAATATTCCAGTGGTTCTCCAGAGTTCCCCAATCAAAATATAAGGCAAATCGGTCTAGGGGTTCCGGAGTTATGATCGGACATCCAAAAACACAAAGATTACTACTTAATATATATATAGACATATTTATAATAAAAGAACGGTTTTATATGAAAACATTTAAGGAAAAAAGAGACGACCTTTTAAAAATCTCTTCTATTTTTTTGGGCAAATTGGGCTTGTGCACCCTAGGTTAAATAAAATTCCCATAACTTCAGGGTCCGTCCTAGAGAACGATTTTTGGACCAACCCCCCCCCCCCCTCCCATAAATTTTGTACATTTATTTTTGTTATTTAGGGTTAGATTAGGTTAAGACAATTTCTGGGCCGAGCGCTGCTGCTAGGACAGGCTAGGGGGCCGAGCGCTGCAGCTAGGACAGGCTAAGGGGACGGGCGCTGCGGCCACATGATCAATTATATCTATGTACAAAATTGATAGAAGGGGGGGGGAGGGTCCAAAATCATTCTCTAGGAAATAACCAACATCTTTACAATAAAAAAAGGTTTTATAAAAAACATTTAATGCAAAAAGAGACGACCTTATAAAAACCTCCTTTCCAAGTTTTTATGCAGATTTGGCTTGTGCACCCTTTGTTAAGTATAATTCCCATAACTTCTGGGTCCGTCCAAATAGAACGATTTTAGGACCCCCTTCCCATCAATTTTTTTCATTTATTTTTTGTTGTGTAGGCTTCGGTTAGGACAATTTCTGGGCCGAACACTGCTAGGATAGGCTAGGGGGCCGAGCGCTGCGGCTAGGCCACGCTAGTGGGCCGAGCGCCGCGGCAAGAACAAACAAGGGGGCCGGGCGCTGCGGCCACAGGATCAATTTTACAAAATGTACAAAATTAATAGGGGG